TCATACTTTTTGCATGAAAGACCGCCTTAATTACCGTAGTACCATTTGTACATACAAGTTAAACAACTAAAGAACACAAGAGATTTAAAAAATAAATTTAACTAAAGAACACAATAGAGATTAAAAAAAAATAAATCTAAAAAACACAATATTTTAAAAAAATCTAAACACGAGATTTAAAAAAAAATAAATCTAAAGAACACAAGAGATTTTAAAAAAATAAATCTAAAGAACACGAGATTTTAAATAAATCTAACTAAATAACACAATTAAAAAAATAAATCTAACTAAAGAACACTAGAGATTTTAAAAAAATAAATCTAAAAAACTATTTTAAAAAAATCTAAACATGAGATTTTAAAAAAAAATAAATCTAAAGAACACAAGAAATTTTAAAAAAATAAATCTAACTAAAGAACACAATAGATTAAAAAAAATAAATCTAACTAAAGAACACAATAGAGATTTAAAAAAATAAATCTAAAGAACACAATAGATTTTTAAAAAAATAAATCTAAAGGACAGCTTTCTGAAATAAAGGCCGTATGGCATTCCAATCATAGTACATCATATTGTATCATTATTTAATATTTCTTTGCGGCAAACCAGCGCTCGCACCTTGCTTAAGTCACGTTAATCAGAAGCAGGAAGCTGAAACATTCCGAAGAAAACTGAGCATGCTCCGTAAGAGCCCTGACTGTAAACAGAACGAGTATTAACTCCTTTTGAAGAACTCTATGGTTCTCCAAGCGGCATTAGGCGCTTTTAATCATCTGCGCATGTGCAACAGCTACTTTCACAACTCCTTTCTCGGAAATCCGGTTCTGGCGTCACTGTTGTTTAAGGAGACAAGCGAGTCTGTCAGGTGTCAGCTGCTCGCGTTCTCGGGCGGAAACTTTGTTGGTGTAAAGAGGGAGAGAAAAATGGCAATCGCTGACACACTTCTGGTTCCTCAGTGCAGAGCTTTGGGAAAAGAATATTTTGCCGAATTTCAAATGTGATGGTTGCCGCTGTTGATCTTTCAGTAAAGTAGTAAAACAGAAACAAAGCGGATCGATTTAAATAACATTGGGCATTGATTATAAGGATTCGATTTCATTGATTTATAGTAGGGGTCCCCAAACTTGGCCGCTTTAAGACTGGTGGACTTCAATTCCCAGAATTCTCCAGCCAGCTATGCTGGCTGGAGAATTCTGGGAATTGAAGTCCACCAGTCTTAAAGCGGCCAAGTTTGAAGACCTCTGATTTATAGCAAGAGAGATACTAGTAAACTTTAGTAATGCTCCTTATTGTTAGTAGCTTTACAGCGCGCCAACCAATGTTTTTAATCCTATGAACAGCCGCCCGACCCTCAACGACTTTTCCCCGCAGATTTGGTAGGCGTGGAGTGGACGGAGGCATCTTGTCGGCGCTAGTAAAGACTGTGATGCAAGTCGTGGGGATTTATTTATTTATTTTTTTTGGACATTTTCATTTATTCTAATTTTTCACTGAGGTGAAACTTTAGGTAGTATACAGAGATATTTTTTACTATAAATATTACTTATTACTATAACCATGTTCCCACCACCCATCTCCTTCCACTTATGACTGTATGACTGTAATTTTGTTGCATGTATCCTTATGATTTATATTGATATTGTTTCCTGATTGCTTATTTGTACCCTATGACTATCATTAAGTGATGTACCTTATGATTCTTGATGAACGTATCTTTTCTTTTATGTACACTAAGAGCGAATGCACCAAGACAAATTCCTTGGGTGTCCAATCACACTTGGCCAATAAAAAATTCTATTCTATTCTACTGTAACCATGTTGCTTGTATCTTTCAATTACATTGCTTTTATTTGTTTCCTAGTACAATTTGATAGCTTATTAGTAACCTTGACTATCACTAAGTGTTGCATCTTTTTATTCTCGATGAGTGTGTTTTATTCTCCTTATGTACACTGAGACCATATACACCTGAGAAAAATTCCTTCTGTGTCCAATCCCATTTGGCCAATAAAGAATTCTATTCTATTCTATCATCATCTTCTATATGATTCTATCTATTCTATCATCATATTCTATATGAATCCATTAACGAGGAAGGCTGTGAAATTTGATCAGCGAATGTTTTGGATGACTTTGATGTCATCCGAGTTTTCTGCCTGCTTTGCTTTTGTTTTGTTTTTTTGGTCATCTAACGGTCGTCGGATTATTCATTCATTCATTCATTCATTCAATTTATTTATTTATTTAATTTTTTTTGCATTCCAGACTGAGGGTCCTAAATAGATTCTACGTGGGAACCTTTTCCTGCCGATCGCTTTTCTTGCTTTCCTAACTCCTCCTTGGCATAAAAGCAAAAGTGTCGTAAAGGGGGCGAAGCAAACCTGCTCTTTAGGGCAGGGGTCTCCAACTTTGGCAACTTTAAGCCTGAAGGACTTCAACTCCCAGAATTCCCCAGCCAGCAAAGCTGGCTGAGGAATTCTGGGAATTGAAGTCCTCCAAGCTTAAAGTTGCCAAGGTTGGAGACCCCTACTTTAGGGAACTGCAACAGTCTCTCGCGTCCCAATGAGCGGGAGAGGCGTAATTTATAAAAGGTTTGCGGCTTTCTAAAACACCCCGGTCTCCTTTCCCCCCCCCCCCACCGGCTCCTTCCCCGCATATGGGAGACCTCGAAACCTTCAACAGACAACCGGAAATCCATCTCGGAAAAGCGAATTTCAGGCTCGACTCCGCCCCCACTCCGCCCCGCCCCCACTCCCGCAGCCCCAGCGCCGCCTCAATCCGGATGCGCGAGGCGTTCCGTTTCGCCTCTTCGTTCTTTCGTGCCGGCCGGGCGACATGGGGAGTTTGACGCGGCGCTGACACGAAACGGTCGCTTCCCCGGCTACTTTGTTTCTTGCGCCCTCCCGCCTCCTTTGTGGGGTTCCCTTGGCCCAGGTGAGGCCTGCCTGGTGGTAAAAGGTGGGCTCGCTTATTATAGTGGGCGAGGAGGGGCGGAGGGAAAAAGTGTGTGGGGGGGGGAGGGGGGGACGGACAGAGGAGGCCTTGCCGCGCCCGGCTCAGTTACTCCCTTCTCGCCCCTCCGTTAATGCCCGGTAAGCGGCGGGGCTAATGACTGAAGGGCCTCGGCGTTGAGCAACCCGCCTTTTTGGGGTGGGGGGGTGGGGGGGTTGGTGCTCTCTGAGCTTGGTGGCTTTCTCGCAGGCGTACCGATGAGGTTACCTAGTTCGGTAATGAAACGTCTGCGAGAAAAACCATTTTACACAATATTGGGCTACACAGGAAAGGGGGGAACCCAAAGGCAGGCCGAGCCATCCACCCTGTGGCTTCTCCTCCTCCTCCTCCTCCTCCAGCCTCTCCAACAAAGGGAGAAGAAAACATTTGTGGCTGAGGGTTGGGACTCCTTGGTGCTCTCTGAGCTTGGTGGTTTTTCTCCCAGACGTTTCATCACCGAACTAGGTAACTTCATCAGTGCGTCTGGGAGAAAAACCACCAAGTTCAGAGAACACCAAGGACCCCCCTGCAGTCCCAACCCTCAGCCACAAATGTTTTCTTCTGCCTTTGCTGGAGAGGCTGGAGGAGGAGGAGAAGCCACGGGGTGGGTAGCTTGGCCTGCCTTTGGATTCCCCCAGTTTCCTGTGTAGCCCAATATTGTGAAAAATGCCACTTTCTGTGGAAAATCTGTCAAGGATTCCCCTTTGGGGTCCTCAGACCATCGGGGTTTCCTAACTGATGTTTCAAGGCAGGGTTGAAATCCAGCAGGTTCTGACAGGTTCTGAAGAACCGGTAGCGGAAATTTTGAGCAGTTCAGAGAACCGGCAAATACCACCTCTGGCTGGCCCCAGACTGGGGTGGGAATGGAGATTTTGCAATATCCTTCCCCCAGGAGTGGGGAGGGAATAGGGATTTTGCAGTATCCTTCCCCCAGGAGTGGGGAGGGAATGGAGATTTTGCAATATCCTTCCCCCAGGAGTGGGGAGGGAATGGGGATTTTGCAGTATCCTTCCCTTGCCATGCCCACAGAACCAGTAGTAAAAAAAAAATTGAATTTCACCACTGTTTAAAGGTGAGGTTTTGGAGGCATGTTGCGTTTCTCGGTTTGCTTTTCTTATGGGATTGTAGGATTAATCTCCTTGTTTTAATCATAGCTTGTTACACTAATGTGAAGTCATAAACCATAGCTGCAGCCAGAGTGGTTGGTGTGTGCACATTCTGCTAAATTCAAACCCCAAATGGCTTAACTTGACACTAGCATTAGAAATTCATGCTTCCTGGCTCTTCTCCTGTCCCCTGGAAGCAGTTCAAATGTTATTCTATCCTATGGTTTGTGGAGGTGCAAAACCATGTATTTTGATGATTTAAGGCAGACATTAAGAAGGCTTTTAAAGCTAATTTCTGCTGTGGGTTGTTGTTGATTTCAAACTGTTCTTGCTTACTTGATCTAAACAATGTGATTTTCTCTGCCTTGGGATTGTGCTTTGTTTTCTCTGTAATATGCACTGTTCTACTTTAATAATAAGCCCAAACCTTACATACACTCCGAAATTGTATTACTGGTTCTCCATGATAAATGTGTAAGTTAATAAGTGTTCTGTAACCTGGCTAAATTTTCTAGGTATTTTACATAGTGTAAAATATGTGGAACCTGTGTATAATATGAGAAAGTGGCAGTGTAAAATGTAGGTAGCATCTTTATATGACCCTCACCCTAGATTGTTATCCAATATACACAAAATTGGAGTGTAGCCAGTTCTACATGTGTTGCATCAGTTATTCCCAGATTCTTACTCATTATTATATTAAACAGTTTACTATAGTAGTAGTATTGGCTTCAAAGTCTTAAATTTTCCTCCATTCCTTCAGTCCCATACTAATTTGCTTTAGGATTACTTGAAAACAAAATGGGTAAAAGAAGACTGCCTTTCAGCTAGAACTTCTTGGGAAAAAGAATAAGTTGAGTAATATGTGCATTATATATATAATGTCTGTGTGATGTACTTAATCATGAAAAGACTTTTCATAGATGCAACTGTCTGATATTAGTTGATTTAGTATCCAAGTCAACTGTTGTCACAACCAAGCAAAGGAGTTTAGAATAAGCTTAAATTGGAAATATGTTACGAAGGCTTAAAATGGAAGACAGTCAGTAGATAATTAGAGGCTCTTCTCACCATAATTGGGATACCTCTGAGGCTTTTTTTTTAGTTTATGAAATGCACATAGATCTTCGTTTCTTGGTACTGAAAGTTTCCAAGTTACAGAGAAACTTACAGAACATTCAGGGGATGTATATATTTCTTTAATGTATTTAGCACAAATATATTAAATCTCTGTTTGTTGCTGTTAAATGAGTAAGAAAAGTTGTTTATTTTTTTCTCCAGATCTTATATAATGGCAAAGTTACAGGGATTTAAAAGTAATTTCTGGGCCCATAAGCCTACTTAGAGGATGATGTAAAATAAAAAAAGTAGATTTATGACCCTGATAATGTTAGATATACAGAAATGAACCATATGTTAGTATGCTGGTTTTTCATGATATGTGCAATTTAATCTTCACTGACATTAGAATATTGTAGGAAAATCAAGATAAAGAACAATATGAACATCAAAGGATGAAATCTGACATATAATCCAGATATTTTCAAAGTATATGTTGCATGCCCTAAAAATTGCAATGAAACAATTTTTTAATTAGACATCTGTGCTCAAAATTAGTGGCACTCCCACTAATATTTTATTGTTCCTGTGTTTACAGGATATATATAATGCTCTCTTTGGATGTAAATTCATAAGGAATGCATTTTTCACAGATCACTACACTTCTACTGAAGCAGAATTCGCTTACAAAACTGTACTTGTGAGTAAACCACGTCAACATGTTAAGCTTCTCATTTCAAATGTATTTTTCAAGCGTATAGTTATAACTGAATACCCTTTTCTTTCAGAAATGGCAGCACAGAAAAGGAAATCTGTGCTGGTAGAATCCTCTGCTAAGCGCCGGAAATTGAATAAAAGTAATAAATCAGTTTCTACTAGCAAAGAAAGAAAACTACAGGATGCTAAATGCATATCAAATAAGAAAGCAGTGCCGAAGAAAGAAGTGCCCCAACACTCTGCCACAACTAACAGGTCAGCTGTCAATAAGTTTATAAATAGAGCTTCTCTGCAATCTTCCCAAAATAAACAAGCGCAAAGGAACTCCAAACAGACTTTAAATGAGTTAAAGAAGAAAACATGTAAAATGGTGTGCATGAAAAGGACATCCTTAACATCTTTAGGTAAATTATGTCCTGCACAAACATCTCTGAAATCTTCCAAACTAAAGCATGCTAATTCTCTGAATTTTTCAAAATCTTCTTCCAAAATCTGTTCTAGGGGGAAGAGAAAATGCAACATTGTCAAAAATAAAACTTCCTATGAAAACAAGAAACCGAATAAATCATCTGTAGATTCTAAAACACGTTCTACTGAATCTCGGTGTAAAAGACATCCAGTCCGGTGTGGTAAAACAAGTCATAAAAACCAGCATTCAAAATCACGGCCGATCAAAGAAAATACCAGAAGAATTACAAAATCTGGAAAATATATTAATAGTGGTAACTTAGAGGTTCAGAATTCTAAAACCCCTTCTCTAAAAAAAACTGCTTCTCAGAACAGTGAAGCAAGATGGATTAAAACATCAAGTGAAAAGCCTTGTGATACTGACTACAGAAAGATAGGCAAAAAATCAGTGGGCACGGATTCTGCCAAAACTGTCAGAATTAGGCAAGAACAATTACCTGTCAAACAAACTAAGAAAGTATCTCAGAAGGAGACAGTGCAGGACCTTCCAAAGTCACAACATAGTGTTTCACATGGGCATCAAACTAGAAGATCGCCAAGATTGCAGCAGTCATCTGATGTTTCTACAATATCTTTGAGAAGCAGAAAAGTTAAAGAAACACATGCTTCTGTTACAAAGCAACGTAATCCGATGAAAAAGCTGGTACCGCAACTTAAACATGAAAAGTTGAAACACGTCCATCAGAAACCAGGAAAGTCTGTGGAAGACAATGATCATCAAACTAAAAGAAGAAAAATATCAGATAATAAGAAAGCAGGTTGTTTCTCCCCCAAAAAACATGAAGTGGCTTCTAAAATCAGTGATTCAACTACATCTCAAGATAAGCCAAGAGAACTGAGAAATAATTTTGAAAGTAATAAAGAATCTGAAAAGGAAGTTGCCAACACAATTTCCTGTCCTATAAATTCAGCTTGCAGTATAGTAAGCAAAGCAAAGTCAAAGCACAAAAATGGAAAAATCAGTGTAAAAGCAGATAGAGTTTTGCCAGTAGAACCTATTTGCCAACAAGAGGATGTGGTAAAATCCAAAAAGATTAGCATTCTTGAACTGTGTGAAGAAATTGCAGGCGAAATTGAATCGGACACAGTAGAGGTAAAAAGAATTTCTACTAATCCTGACTATGGAAAAGAGGTGGAAAAAAATCCAGTGCTGGAATTGCCACAGGACATAGTATTAAATGATGAGAAAACTAACCAGAACTCTCAATGTAAGCGATTTTTTCCCAGCAAAAAAGGGATGTCTGTAAAATGTACTGTAAATGGCAGACATAGCACAGTGAACAAAAGTTCTAAGTGGACCAAAATAAAATTAACTAAGGTCAATCATGTGAGCCATAGTATCTCAAGTATTCCAAAGCTTGATGTTTTAAAATGTAATAATCCTGAGGAACAACAAGCAAGAACTGTAGAAATACACCTTCCAGAAGTTCCAAGGAATTTTTTTGGAAACAATGATAGCACAATATGTGAACAGAAGTTAAGTACATCTGATTTTGAAGGAATCCATATTAAAGATAGAATGCTACATGCTGAACAGTCCACTGTACAGAAGATAGAGAATGGTTTGTCTGAGGCAAAACATTGTCCTGGGCCAACACCAGATAAGGTAAATATTTTGTAATTTTGTGATATAACAGTATGTCTTTGTATTATATTGTGGAATAAGTTTGTTTCATGGGACAATACGATTTACTTTAAGGATGAGTATAATGCAGTGCATTCTGTTTAAAATAATCCATTATATCTATCATGCATGTATCATTATTTATTACATCATTTATCACTCATGCCCTAATAATTTTGCAGCTTGACTATTGCAACACACTTACATGGGGCTGAATTTGGAGACCACCAAGAAGTTTCAAATCATCCAGAATAGAGTGGCATAAGCAATTATGGGCATGTCTTGGTATCCCCATGTAACACCTCTGCTTTGTAAATTGTACTGATTGCATCCAGTGCAATCATCTTACTTCTGGGTGTGATTCAAGGTACTGGTTGCTATCTATAAAACCTTACATGGCATCAGAACTGATTACTTGAGGGACTGCCTGTCTCTCATTGTATCCGTCTGACCATTTTCATCTTACAGGGTTGGCATGCTCTGGGTTCCTTCAATGAAATAGTATCATTGAGTGGGACCCTGGAAGTATGCCTTTTCTGTAACAGTGCTTGTGCTTTGGAAGATCCAGATTGCGTGCCCACCCCCCCTTCATCTGCTGATGTCCAGAAGAGCGGTGAAGACCTAGCTCTTCACCCAGGCTTTTGGCAAGGGAAAGTGAGACCTCTCACCTGAATCCATCTGATCTCTCACGAGCAGGGTAGCACTAAGAGGCAATACATTACTAAAAGCTAACTGTAAAAAGATGGTTTGAAATGTTTTGTCTACATTTTTTCATATAGGTAACTGAGTATCATGGGAAAGACAGCTAAGTTCAACACAATATAAGTTGAGCTATCTTTTAGATTTGAGATATTTTCTTTGCTAGTTCATTGGGAGCTAGAGATATCTCTAAAATAGTTTTTGTCCATGTACTACAGAGTTACCCTGTTTCCATCAAAATAAGACATCCCCTGCTGATAAGCCCATTCAGGCTTTTCAGCACATGGCAATAAGGCCAAGCGTTTATTTCAGGGTTCAAAAAAAATATGACATGGTCTTATTTTTGGGGAAACACGGTATTTACTATACCTCATGAAGCCATAGGTGGTATATGCAAACATAGCTATATACTAGTATGATTTACTAAGATTATAGAGTGCTTCAAAGGATGAAAAGTTTATAATGTTAACATGTTTTCTGCAACCTCTTAAAGCAGCTTCATCTTTCTTAGAGCCTGTTTAGATGCCCATTGCAGTGCTGTGCGATCTTAGGGAAAGGGACATTTAGTTTACATTGAATCCAAATATATGTTCCTGAATGCTCCAAAGCACATTTTTGCTTTGAATCAGAAGTTCTGCACAACCCTAAGATTCCTTGAAGATTGAAAGTATTGTTTTAGAATTTCTAAATTCTTTATGCATTTGCACAAAGACTCAAGAAAACTGGTTAATATTCTCATGAGATAAATTACCTCTAGCCCAGTTATTGCATCAGTTCTTATAATTTATTGCATCTCATCTAGACAGCTCAATTATACAAACCTGGTAGAAGTTTATTAAAGTGAACAGGAACAAAAATTCAGGTTTTTGAATTGGTAAGATCTGTTGTATGTTTGAATAAATGATTCTTATATGTATATCTTTAGAGTTTCAATTCAGAGTTCACTACACCACCAGAAAATACTTCAGTGAAAATAATTTCAGAACAAGCATCAGTAATGAAACAAGTAAAAAGAGAGACAACAGAAATCAAACTTCAAGGTAAACTTCAAATTATATTTCATATTAAAGCATCTTTAATTATGGATAAAGTAATTGATAGTTTAAATTCAAGTTTATGTATTATGATATATTTAAAAAACTATGGCTAGTTTTTTAGTTCATGGAATATGAACTTAGAAGAAAGCAAGGGTAATCAGATGAAACTTTATTTCCATTAATAGGATAACCTGTGCTTAGAGGATTGCTAACAGTAGACCATAAGGCTTATCATCCAAATGCCAAAGTGAGGCTACTTATAGCTTTTTTTGAACTAATCTTACCATTGGCAATTAAATTTAACTGATTTGCTAATATATTGACCACAGTTTACATAACTGTAAGCCAGAATTTGTTTTATCATCATATTTTCAATATATTGTGATATGTCAGAATGAATTAGATTCATATCAACACCCAGGGCAAAATGTACCGAACCATATCATTGATCAACTTGGTATTAATTTTATTGCAGACAGGCAAAGTAATCAGTACTTGTTGAATCAATTCTTGAGGGGGGTGGGGTTCTTTAGCTTCAAGAAGAAAACTGATCAGACAAACTAAACAGGAATAAGATGGGATTCTAGATTTAGACCCAGTGACTCTAATATAATACAGGCATTAAATTGCTGCTGGAAGTAATGCATAGTTACATGATTTATAAACTAGTAAAAACATGATGCTGCTCTACTCTCCCTAGTCAAAACTGAAATATTGAGGATTTTTTTTTAATGAAACCATCTTATTGGTTTGGCTTTCACAACTGCTATCTCTTGGGCAGTGTTGAGCTACAGGGTTTAGTGCCATAGTCTAGACAACAGCCTAGTCAGTTCCTGCACAGTTGCTGTGGTCTGCATAGTATTCCATATTGCCAGCTATTCCTAAAGATGCCAGCTTATAGTTGTCAATGAAAGTAAGGAAATCTGTTGCCTAGATCACATTCATTAAACCCTGAAGCCCAATGTTGCTCTTTTATATACTCTTTGTGTATATAATGTAAGACAACTATAGTCTGTTACAATAAATATGCAATTCATAATCTATTTAACCTGTGTAGCTCTAAATCACATGGTGTGTGCCTTTCATTATATTTGTTTACGAGTTCAGTTTATGCACTCATAGGTAATATAAAACTGAAGGAGAACTTGGCTAAAGATAATAATCCCCCCAAGTAGTCTCTATTATATATTCATTGATAAATATGAAGTAATATGGAGTCCTTGGTTGTCTTTGAGTTTGGTTGTTTGATTACAGATGTTTCAAACAAACATCCAAGTTTAGGAACACCAAGGACTCCAAGTTAAACTCTGAGCTACATATATTCTCTTCTAATGCAGTAACAAATTGATTTATTGATAGATCCAGTTGGTAAACAGTTGGTTCAGATTCCTGATAATAAAACCTCTGAGATAAATGAGAGCAGGTACAGTATTTTTAAAAAATATTTTATATTTTCTTATATTTTATGTTGCAATCTTTTACAAGTTTGTACTAAATTTGCCAGTCAGTTGTTAAGAAATATCCAAGTATTATCAACTCAGACTTAACATTCTTTCTTTAATATTCCCTTTTCTAAGGATATACCTTAGCTTCGGCTCAACTGGCCAAATAATCAGACACCTTAATCTCAGGCTGCTCTTGCTAAAGGGCAGATCTCTTTGAAATGAGATGTTTGGGTGAAGAAACACACAGACCTGGCATCTCTGGTTGGGTAGAATTAGGGATGTGGCCCTGAATGAGCTCTGAGTTACATATCCTACATCTGCCATGATGCCAAAGTTCAGAAGAAAGGCTAGCAGCAATTTTGGAGAGAGACTAGTGGGCCCAGCAGGACTGCACTGTAGATAATGGTTGCAAAGAATGATAAGTGTGACTGTTGGTCTCTTCCCAGATATTGATCCTGAACACTTCCCTGGTTTGTTAGAGGAGTCAAGAGAGATGAAACAGGTGGGGAAAAACCCCTAGTATAACAGTGCTACAATACCAAAACTCAGTACAATCCAGTGATGGTTCTCAACATGGGTTGAGTGTCTGATTCTCAACATGTTGAGAATCAGTCACTGAATGGCAAAATGTGAATACTTCTGTATTATAATGGCATCTGGACTGTCTGCAGATGTTATGAGTGCTGTTGTGCAGGAGCTCTGCTTGTACCAAAAGGAGTTGTTTCAGTCAGTTCTGGGAGGAAAATCATCAAATCACAGGGTCACCTGTCACACTGAAGTGTCGGTGTACTATTGATACTCAGTTGTATAACCATCAAGGCCAAGATAGGGATACTATTAAAATCTTGAACACAAGCAGATACAAGATTAAGTCTGGTAAGAAAAGATATTGTTTGTTAGTAAGTTAGTTAGTTCTAGGAACTTAAGTTCCAGTGATTGTACTGCTCCTGCAGGAGCAGATCTTGGATTTACAGATCCTGCTGGAGAAGCAGGTGGAAGCTCTGGTAGGGAGACAGTGTACCAGTTACAGCCCTACTTGAGCTGGAAAAACTTGGCTGTTGTAGCTTCTATTCTAGTTCTTGTGAGATTTGCACTATTACAATGCATCATATGCTTGTTACCTTTGAAGATAATCTCCAAGCTGCATCAGATTGTGGCAGCCAGGATGTTAGAAGGAGATACCTATGTTACAGCCACACCAATGTTGGCTGCCCGTAGGCTTCCAAGCTCCGTTCAGACAGTTAATTATTACCTATAAGCCCTACACAGTACAACTCCAATCACATCAGAGGTCATTTTAACCAGCATGATTCTGCCTGTCTTGTATAGTTGAACAGGAGGGGATCCATCCCACTGAACATAAAACAGGTGTGGACTAGGATGCAGGACTGTTCCACGGTAGCTCTTGTCCTTGGAAGTACATTGCCCCCAGATAACTGTCTGTCTGTCTGTAAAACTTCTGACACTTCATAAGACATCGAAAACTTTACTTTTAAAACAGAAATTTAATACCTAACAATTTTCTTTGTGTAACTGTCAGTAATATAAGTTAATGAATTTGTGCTGTTTTTATTGTTAGGGGCTCAACTTTTCTACATTGCCTGACTCTTGTGAGAAGGCAGTATTAAAATGAAATAAGCAAATATTCAGTAGAGACTTTTAAAAAGCTGTGACTTTTGCACCTAATAGATAAGGAGAGTTTCTGCATGTTTTTGTTTTATTGTTGCTGTTATTATTACTTTGAGAACATTTGCTCCATATAGCCTCCTTTTTGATGCTGAAATGAAGCAGGAACAGAATTGTTGTTCAAATAGGAAAATATCCCTCTATCCTGAAAAAAAAAGGAAGGCATAGTTCCTTTCAACTTCCATCTTATAGATATCTAAGTAAAATACAGGTAGTCTCTGACTTAGAACCATAACTGAGCCCAAAATTTCTATTGTTAAGTAAGATATTTGTTAAGTGAGTTTTGCCCTATTTTATGACCTTTCTTGCCACAGTTGTTAAGTGAATCACTGCAGTCGATAAATTAGTAACCCGGTTGTTAGGTGAATCTGGCTTCCCCATTGACTTTGCTTGTCAGAAGGTCGCAAAAGGTGATCAGTTGACCTTAGGACACAGCAACGGTCATAAATATGAACCAGTTGCCAAGCATCTGAATTTTGATCACATGGTCATGGGGATGCTGCAAAGGATGTGACTGAAAAATGGTCATAAGTCACTTTTTTCAGTGCTGTTTTAACTTTGAACAGGCACTAAACAAATTGTTGTAAGTCAAGGCCTAGCTGTAATTGCTTCCATTTATGAAATAAGGATTAGCGATGGAGTATGTGGAGTATGTCTTTTTTTCCTTTTGCTAGGAGCATATGTCATACCATCATGCAAACACCACATCTCAACAGATTAGGTTCACTTTAAAAAAAATTTAAAACCCAGCATGATAAGACAGGGTTCTTGAACATCCTAAACAAAAATTTATTCTTTGCGGACAATCAAGCTATTTGCAAGGATATTTGCAACATTTTTCAGCTCAGAAAGGGATTGGCCTATTCGTTTACAAACTTTGCTTGCTGTAAAATGTGAGAAACATTTTTTTGACAGAAGCATAGCTAACTTATTTCATTGTCTTTCTTCCAGGAGCTTAAGATGTCTTGTATTGCACTCTGTTCTACCTGGATTTAATATTAATTCAGTTGAATTGTGTGGAAGGGAAATACATTTTTATTATAATACATACATAAGCAGTAACTTTTGTGAATTATTTTTATTCATAAAGGGCATCTGTGCCAAAGACTCCATTAACAACAAAATGTGGCTTTCTTACATCTGAAGAACATATTCAAAAATTAAAAGAAGCTGCAAAAGATGGCGATAAACAGCTAATCATAGTAAGTATTGTGTATGATAAGTTGCTGGTTGTTACTTTAAAACAATTATTCAATGTGTGTCAGGCTTTTATCTTATAAGTTAATAAAGTATGATATTAATAAAGTAGGAAAAATATTCTCTGTTAATTGGGAAGTAGAAAAATGGGTTAAGTCTAATTTAAAGGTTTCTTGTTATAGTATAATTTTCCATTCATTGTAGTGAAGAAACATATTATATGTATTTGATGTACAGCAGATATTGCCATCCATTATCTTGGACTGAAGGCTAAAACATATAAAATGGTTGCTGGAATTGGGTATGTTTAGTTTAATGAAAACAACTAGGGGTGACATGATAGCTTTTTCCAATATTTACAATTGAGCCTACAATTGAGCCCAAAATTTATGTTGCTAAATGAGAAATTTGTTAAGTGAGTTTTGCCCCATTTTATGAGCTTTCTTGCCACATTTATTAAGTGAATCACTGCAGTTGTTAAATTAGTAATACTGTTGTTAAGTGAATCTGGCTTTTCTATTGACTTTCCTTGTCAAAAATTCACAAAAGGTGATCACATGACCCTGAGATCAACTATCATAAATATGAACCAGTTGTCAAACATCCAAATGTAAATCACATGACCATGGGGATGATGCAATGGTCATAACTGAAAAATGGTCGTATGTCACTTTTTTCAGTGTTGTTGTAACTGCATTGTTTGGCTGACGGCACCCGGAGGAGTCCTCTCTATGAGAGCGTACCAGCCAGTGGGAGGCTATTGGTGGTAGTAGGCGGTCCCGTAGGTAACCAGGTCCTAAGCCATGGAGCGCTCTAAAGGTGGTAACCAAAACCTTGAAGCGCACCCGGAAGACCACCGGGAGCCAGTGCAGCTCGCGCAAGAGAGGTGTTACATGGGAGCGCCATGTCACTCCCATTACCACCCGCGCGGCCGCACTCTGCGCCAGTTGGAGCCTCCGGGTGCTCCTCAAGGGGAGCCCCATGTAGAGAGCATTACAATAGTCCAGGCGGGAGGTGACGAGGCCATGAGTGACCGTGCGTAAGGAGTCCCGATCCAGAAAGGGACGCAACTGGCGAATCAGGCGAACCTGATGAAAAATCCTCCCGGTCACGGCCGTCAAATGCTCTTCTAAAGACAGCCGTGAATCCAGGAGGATGCCCAAGTTGCGAGCCCTCTCCGTGGGGGCCAATGATGCCCCCCAATAGTCAGTGATGGCGCCAACTGACTATATCGGGACGTCGGAAACCACAGCCACTCGGTCTTGGATGGGTTGAGCCTGAGCCTGTTCCTCCCCATCCAGATCTTGGTTCCCCAGTTCTTGATTTCCCTGGACTAACAGAAAATAATAGAAAAATGTGCTATTTTATCATACATATTTTAATTGACAGGAAAGATCATGTTATTTTTCTGATGATTAATTAGCCCTGAAAATATTGCCATGACCCAACAAATGTATTTTGAATGCTCTTCATAGTTGCTATCCTTGATATTGAAAGTACTTTGTGTATTTTAATGACATGGGTTTGCAGCTATTTATGTTCAGTAAATTGTATTATTAGGTTAGGCAAGTTTGTTTCACGCGCTATATTTTAACTTTTAATATATAGGATGCAGGACAAAAACGGTTTGGAGCTATTTCCTGTAATATTTGTGGAATGCTTTATACAGCTTCAAATCCTGAGGATGAAACCCAGCATCTGCTCTTTCATAACCAGTTTATAAGTGCAGTAAAATATGTGGTAAGAATATTTTTTCTTTGCTCCCCAAAGCATAAAGTATTTTATATAGTCTCTCCAAAATTATACTTAAAGCAACAGCAAATCCACTTAGAAATGTTTTGTTAGTTTAAATAAAGTAACGAAACATCCTTGTTCACATTTCTCCTAACTAATGCTTCAGTGAGTGAATATTATATCATCTAAGTTACCTAATGCTGTCTGTACTGTATAGTGCTTTGGATTCAATTCAAATCCAAAAAGATGTTCAGAGCACTTGGAAATCTGCCTGCCACCCTTTAAAACAGTTGTGTCTTTTCCAGGAATGGCGTGTCAACTGCAGAAGGCATGCTTTGAAGCATTTTTGGAATCAAATCAAAAGCACTCTACAACCCTATTGCACATGTATTATTTTATGCTTTTACATATGCAGTGGAAATAATATTGCCCATAGTGGTATTTTAGTATGAAATTTTGTTTGGCTAGTAGAAAATAATTAGCTTTTAATTGCGCAATTTATTTTTAAAAACCATATTTCATATAAGATTGTTGAACTGACCATTATATGCCCCTGCAATTTATATTCAGAGTACTAGAACTCTGTTTTCTTTATCATATATGTTACCTTCCATAACTTGTATTGATATTGATAAGACCTCCAGGATAATCGAACTGAACTCCCCCAGCTGCTTCCAAAGTCTACCACACAAATACAAATCTACACTGATTCAAATCTAGCTGGTGATTTAATGATTTACAAAAGCTCTTGCTAGTTTCATGATCTTATTGACCAACTGTAAACTATTGCCTACTTACGGAAGAAATACATTACTAAAGCTCTAGAGAGCAGGACTTTTAAAGCATCTGGAAAAGCAATGGTGGTGGGACAGTAAAAAAATGTTTGAATAATTGAATGATCAGAACTTAAGGTGAAATTTGACCATCAGTTTTTTAACCTCTTTGCTTTTCAGTTCAATATAGAGTATTCCTTTTCTATTTTTTTTAAAAAAATTGTTAGGCTACAATTCAAAATAGAAAACTCAGAAACTAGAATACAAGTTGCTTCTTCTATAGTAGCATATATTAATATCGCATTACAATCCAAATGTATGCAATTTTTATTGGTGCTGGTTTCCAGCTGAAATTGGATTTTTTTGAAACATCACAACCAAACTGGGTGGATTTATGGAAAATAAGTTAAATCTTTTATGTGATATAATTTTGTGTCCTTTTATATCACAAATAATTTGAACTAAGAGTTAAATTTTGTTTCAATTTATTTGAAAACCTTAATTCTCAAATAATTATTGTTGCAGCCATTTATTTTTTTTACTATAATTAATGTTTATGTCTTAAAATTATTCTCAACTTAAATAAAATACTTTAAACACCATAAAAAAATCTAATGCCATAAATTTAGAGTTCAAAGCTCAGTTCAACATATAATTTTCCCTCATTCTTAGAACATCTGTGAATTAATTGCTGTAGCTGCCCTTGCAGATGTATTTGACATGAACAGTTAATTATTCCTTTTCTTTTTTAAATAGTTTTTTTTTAAATTAATTGAATAAAGCAAAAGAAAAAGAATACACATAATTATAAATCAATTATGAAAGAATGATATGGCCATTGCTTTGGAATAAATTGGAATAAATTACCAAACCCTTCTTTATTACCCTCTTAAGAGAAGACTATAATATTCATATTTATTTGCCTTTTATTGTCCGAGTTTTTAAAGTCTTATATTTGTTTTTAATAATAGCTTTATTATTACAATATTTTTGTAAATTACCTAAAACCATTAAAGGAGTGGATAGCATAAATGTGGATATACATTCTCTAAATAAATAAAATAAATGCTAGAAAAGTGTCATCCAAGTAAAATTTTTAGGTGTTAAAATAATATTTTGGGACTCTAAAATTAAAATTATTTGCTTTATGAATAGGTGGGCTTAGAAATCTGATGAAATGAAATGATCAAATGTAATTGTTATCACAAATGATACCAGAAAGATTTTTATTTGAATTATTGTGTTGGCCTCAAAAGATCAGGACCACAAGTGAAGTTCCAATTAAATTGATTTATTACTAATCATGCCTATGCACAAGAATCTATACAACTAGTTAGCACTATCTTGACATTAAATGAAGGTCAACAGAATTCAAAAAGAGTTGCACTTAATCTGTTTGTGACTACATAAAGAAGCTCTAAGCTAATTCCTCTTTGACCCCGTCCCCAGGTTCTGCCTCTTCTCCTACAGATCGTTAGTATCACTTCAGCCTCTTTTCTTGGGTGAATGTTATAACAGTATGTAACAGTATGTAGTTATATACATATAACAGTATGTATATAAGTGTCAGTGGAATATAGTTAATTGTTTAATTTTTAGTGAGCTTTCTTTTCCTCTCTCCCCTTTTTAAAATGAATATAGGTTAGACTTTTGAATTTATTAGCCTAGTTATGGTACTTTGCTTTAGACTTCCTATAAATACCGCTTTAGGCAGCCTTTGCAAACAACATAAACTCTAATTTATGGATAAAATTAAGTCTTAATAGACTTAAGTGGCTTTTTGTTTTGTTTTTTCATGCAGGTACTGATCATTTATCACCATCAGTGTGGATCTGAAGAAGAGTTAATTACCTCATTTTTGAGTATGTTTAACTTCAGATACACACAGCGTAGCAACTTTCCCTTTTAGGGCATTAGAAGGTAGCTATTCGTTTATAGTCTCATTTTTGTGACTATTAGTTATAATTAGTGATACAAATATTTCATCTTTTGAACCACTGAACCACTGCATGCCATTCAGTTCACTGAAAACCTCCTGGAGGTCTGTTGCATGCCACTTATCAAAATGTACACATATTTGTGGAGGTAACTGTGTTAAAGAAATGCTATATAGTGTACATATATACATACTCCTACTTGCACATTCAAGCTCTGGATTGATTTTGGGGGAATTTGCTGAATGAACAAAATATGCTTGCCAATTCTTAATGGATGAATTTTACAATTATTCTGGTGGAAAAGACTGGGGCTGCCCAATGCTTCATGTTTGAATCCAACAAAGTGCTGTATCGGCACCTCTCTACAACTCTTGAAAGCAGCTGCCTTTTCCTAGGTTTATGTAACAGATATGGAGGGCAAGTGCTACTGTATATTTGAACTCCTATGTATCTAGAACCAACTTTTGTCCAAAGTATCACTCAGCCCTGAAAGAGTTATAAAGTGTAAAATATTTTCATGGAAGCTTTCTGTGGAAGCTTTTGAGTTATACAAGCTATATGGATACGTATAACTCCATCAAGTCAGGATTTTTGTTTGCTAAGCAAGTGTGAATTATTTAACACGAGCTAAAAGTATAATTGTAAACATTGTATTAATAGTATAAAAGCTTTGTGTTTAGCTGAGCATTGTTTTTTCCTTTTTAGGGGTGGAAAAAAGAGAGAATTTTGTCTGAGTATCCTGATGGTAAGATTATAATGGTTCTTCCTGATGATCCAAAGTATGCACTGAGAAAGGTAGGTGAAATGTCTTGAACTGTATTTTGTTTAATGGATGGGAAAAGGCTTTGCTAAGCTTTTTACAGTAGTTTGTTATTGTTAAGAATGTGATAATAAACACCTACAAATAAATTTTCTGATCACTGAAGTTGCAAAATACATACAAGACTTTCCACACTTCTATTATTTCAGCTATTGTTCTTATTGTATTAACGTGAGATTGGCTTGACAAGGAAATACCAAAATTGATGTGTCGGTAGAACCTATGAATTTAATTTTCAGTTGAAAGATCATAGGGGGAAATAAGCCATCTTCCCTAGTGGATTTAAATGGAATTGTTTGCATGACATAACAAATTTAGTAGCAGAAACAAACCAATGTGTCTTAAACTGTGCAAGTGTGCAATGTGAGAGAGATTGATAGTTTACTTATTGTGTACTATATCAGCAGAATGTCGGAAAAATTTGGCTAGAACAAACTTAGTGTCTCTATGATTGTATTAAGCTTGTTTACATAACTTTACTATAATTTGAATTATAGTCCTGTTACATTCAAGTATACTTTGTACATTCTAAAGTTTTCACTGTTGCAGTTTTGTTTTTCTGTTATGCACATTTTCTCTGCTTGTGTGGGTAGATGGATTAAATAGATTTTCCTTCCCCAAATAGGTTAAATTCCATACCCAAACATTCTAAATCTGTACCTATATGTATTGAGTTTTGAACAATTACGCAAAAATACTTTTATGCTTTTTGAATGTGTGCTTGTTAGAGTGCATATTTTGTTCTTTTTAAAAAAATATGATTTTGAATATATTGGTTCTAAGGCTTTTTATGTTATTTATTTGGCAGGTTGATGAGATCAGAGAGATGGTTGATAATGATCTGGGATTCCAACAAGCTCCTCTAACATGCTCCAGAACTAAGACTCTATTATTTATTTCTAATGATAAAAAAGTAATTGGCTGCTTAATTGCAGAACATATTCAATGGGTGAGTAAACTGTGGATAACTATTGTCTTAGTTGTTACATTTTTCTAAAAAGTATGTATATTTTTATTTAAAATGTTGGAACCTCTGAGAATATTTCCTGTGAAAAATTAATCATTAAAATGAAGAAATTTCTGTTTATAACTTAAAGTGGGAAAAGTGGATGGAGATAGAATGTAAAAAGAAATACCAATTCTTAAGGTAGTAGTTATTGTAGTGACCTGATATATGTATCAGAGATGTCTTCTCAGCTGTTTGGCTTCAATTTGAAAATTGCAGTGCAGCACTTGGTTGCAGAAAACACAGCAATCCAAGTTCTACATTAGTCAGTTGTGTTCTAATTCTTAGTGCTACTGGTAAATCTCTCAAATACTGGTGCAAAATTCATTATGATTTGAAGATGGCTGCAAAGAGAAGCAAGTTTTTGCTGCCTTGTAATCCTTGTGTTGATTTTTCCTGCCATACTTTTTCACCCATCGGAGAAAGATCTCTTGAACTATTTGCTGGTGTGGTGACTATAGAAAGATGTTTCTTATATGGGAGAAGGGATGTATAAAGTTCCTCAACCATCTGTTGGAAAAGGAAGTGCATGTGGCAAGTGGATTTTCCTATAATTCTAGCCATCTCTTTTGTTTCAAATCACAAGGCTACTGAATATTTTTTTTCGGTAGTTTCTATAGAACTATTCCAAGGAAAGTAGTCCTCTTCAGTACATGACCCAATGAACTGAAAGAGCCTGATAGTACAGTGGACTAAAGCACTGTTATTAACATCTGCTGCTTGCAATTACTGCAAGTTCAAATCTCACCAGGCTGAAGGTTGACTCAGCCTTCCATTCTTTCAAAGGTAGGTAAAATGAGGACCCAGATTGTGGGGGCAATAAGCTGACTTTGTATAAATATACAAAAGTATGAAGGCTATTGCTTAACGCATTGTAAGCCGCCCTGAGTCTCCGGAGAAGGGCGGCATATAAATTAAAAGCAAAAAACAAAAACAAACTGTAGCTGCACTAGCTGGTTAGTTGGCATTTCCTTTTTGGACAGCTGACATAAATCATTCCTATAAAATTCCTTTTATATTGTAATGATTACATTGTGTGGGGCTATTCAGCAAAAAATGACTGGATGTAAATACTATATTTGGAAAGGAGATATTTAAAATAGGAATTTGTTATTACAAATACGTTAATATTAAAATCAATCATAAAGAATGCTAACTGTTATTATTATTATTTCCCAAGGGGTATAGAGTTATTGAAGAAAAGATTCCAGATATTAGTTCAGAAAACGATAAGCTCACTTTTGAAAGGCAAAAGGCCTGGTGCTGCTCAACAACTCCTGAGCCAGCCATCTGTGGCATTAGTCGCATTTGGGTGTTCAGCATGATGCGACGGAAGAAAATTGCTTCTCGGATGTTAGAATGCTTGAGGTAAGGGCCTTTTGCATTAGTGTGAACGATTTACAGGGGCACCTACATTACATTAAAAAAGGACGGGATTGCTCACATGGCATTTTAAATTTTCTGACACCCTCCCTGCTGTTGCCCCTGACTGTTATGGCTTAAGATAATCGGTTAGTCTGTATTCAACTTTTACTTTTATCTTAAGAGGAGTAAAATACCTCATATACTATTTAATCAATTGGAAGTTAACCAATCAGAAGTGAGAATTGTTAAATTGTTCACTACTTGTTATTTGGGAACTCTTTTAATTATGAGAACAGATGTGACTATTTCAGAGGTGTGATCATTTTAAGAGGAAGACAAGATTAGGTAGCATCTGAATACTGGCGTTTGAAAAGCATTAAAATACATTGTATTTGGGGCAGTATTTTATGTTTGTTAGTTCCTTGAGTCATTGGTATTATTATATTTTTAAAAAGTTTCTTTGCCAATTTGTCACAGTGATTTTTTTTATCTTGTCTTTAATCAGAAACAATTTTATATATGGCTCATATTTAAGTAAAGAAGAAATTGCTTTTTCTGACCCTACTCCGGATGGAAAATTGTTTGCAACACAGTATTTTGGGACTAGTCAATTTTTGGTATATAATTTTCTCAGTGGACAACAGCCTCAAAGTGGTAACCTTTATAATAAAAGGTAATGAGAAATCATTAACTCTGTTGCTTGATGTTGACCAACAGATTTGGACTTTTATTAGCAGTGAACTCAGGAGTAGTAACAACCAAAAAGATGATGGTTGTATTTTATTAAAACTGTAAATAGCACAGGTAGAATAATTTTGATATTTTTATAAAAAATATGTATTATCTCTAGTACACTAGCCATGTTTACATGCAGCAAATAATTTGTTCATAGTGGACTGTCAATTAGTGCAAGAACTATGGTCGCCTTTTAAGTATATTTTGAAGTTCACAATGTAATAGTATACCTAAGGCAAGGAGAAAGTCCGTCTGTATTTGGTAGAGGTGTGTATCTGAGAATCTCCATAGAAATTTCGACTGAGAATTTCCATAGAGATTTAGAGGTACGAAAGTATTCTGTATTCAAGATGAATAAAAACTAGGGTCTAATCGAAGTGTATAATTGGCTCACTATATATGTTGAATGGAAATAATAGTTTAAAAAGAAAGATACTAGCTTCTTTTGAAAAGTATGCCTCCAACTATACTTTAGCAATAGCAAATTGGGTATATACTTTGTGGACTTCACTTGGTACTTTAGCCTAAACCCCTCTTATTTCAGAGGGTACATATAATGAAAAACTACTGTGGCCTTTCTTGACATGTATATAATGTAGATTTTAAAAAGAAAACATTTGATAACTTTTAAATAATCTACTAATGATAAATGTATTTAAGCAATGTCTTTGATATTATTGACTATTAAAAGTTGATTGAAACACTGGTCTGGTATAATAATGATTTTGGGTGATTAACAGTTGCAGCGTTTACATTTTGGTGATCACGAGTACGTAACTTAATATTTCAAAGGAAGTTTTCAATCTACAAGTAACTTGATTAGTTCAAAACAGTGCCTTATATAGTTTAATAGTCTAGTTCCAATGTTTGCTAGAAGTGTCTCCAAGTGGTCTGTTCTTCAGGAATACAATGGATTTTGATGCTAGTACATCTTCAGGTTCACTATATACAAAATAGGTTTGTGGTCCCATTCCTGGATAGTTGTGTGTGAGATAAAGATTTAGTACTGGGTGGGTAGTATGTAAGCCGTTTCCTACCCTGAACATGTCACAGGCAGAATGACCACCTTCATGTTTAGTCAGAGCCAATACGGGCACCTTTTCATGAGAAGATATTGTCAAATAATGTAGATCCATTATTTATTAACTTGTTAATTTGAGGTTATACTAGGCTCAAAATATAAGCTTACCTTCTAAAACTTAAAATCTGGAAACATTCTTAGAGCCTGCAAAAGAAATGCTGTAACCATGAATTTCTTAACATTTTTCCTTCTATTGAACTTTTTTTTTAATGTATGTCATCATTTTACAGAATTGCAGTTAAAATGGAGGGATAGAACTCCCATTGGCTATTCTTAAGGTTGGTTCTAGGCCTTAAATCTCGGTGACACAATTCATATTTCCTAAGGAGAGATAAAACAAGTCTCTCTTTATTGAGGCAGACCTATTGATCTTAACTGTAAAATTTGGACCATGTGAGTCATCAGTTCATGAGTTGCTCTGGTCTTCCTTCATTCAGAAAACAGTTTCTCCACCACTTTCTGAATCTTAAGGTAATTTTTGTCTCTTCTGTAACAGCAGTCATATATTTTGCAAGGCTTGTGTGTATGGTTTAGCAGCTGCTATGGCTGTCTTTGTAATTATGAAGTCTGAAATATGAGCCTTGAAAAAGGCAATAGCTTTTTAACAAACAGCTGCTTTTTTCTGTGCATAATAAAACTTGTGAATATTGTAGTATTGCTTCCTGACATACTAAGCATCTACAGTCACCTTGGATTAATGATTAACTAGTACAAGTTTAACTGTTAGCTTATGTATTGGCTATTCAAGTAATTACTAAGTCGTTATATTAGTAATTGGTCAAAATAAAAATTCTGAGGAATCAACATAGTGTAAACCTAATATAGAAAGCATTAATTGATTAACCACGGTGCAGAATCTGGCAATAAAACAGAAGTGCATCTAGCTAGTTCAACAATGGAGAAATAATATCTCTGCCCTAGTCTATATTTAGATTAATAAGCATATTATATGAATTGAATCAAGTGCCCGATAAAAGGATCCATTACATTGGTCTACACATATATCATTAACAATGGTAATATTAAATATTTGCTTTCCAGTAGCAGTAGATAAGGGATTTAAATGAACTACAGTAAAGGCTCTTGCATCCTTTAACTGGTTAATAGTAAATTACAATCAGGATTAGAGGTTAGTTCCCCCATGCCCAGAGTGGACAACAATCATACTACTCTTTTTGATGCTTGATAAGGCTTGATGTCACCAATATGAACTCTACAGGACCATTTAGTCCTATCTAATCCCAAGTAATACCTTTCTTTCCATCAGCAAAGGGGCATCTTAGGGAACATACTAAAATTGCAACTTTTTTACATTGGACATATGCCAGTGTAAAGGGAAATTGAAATATTCATATACTGGTTCCTGCTTATATGGATTTGTACCTTCACAGTATGGCTAGGCTTCTGAAATGAACAAAAAAGTAAGCTAGCATACTTTTATCTGAAGTGATACAAACAGCATAATATGTGCCAGTGTTTTTCAACTATGGCAACCCTAAGATGTGTGGACTTTGATTCCCAGAATTTCCCAGCCCACATGCCGGGAGAGTTGAAGTTCACACATTTTAAAAATGCTAAGCTAAAAACACACTGATTTTAGACGCTATTGTGTTCTGAAAGTGTAATTACTCAAAATAATTGTGAAACATTATTTCTAATTTTTCAAATTCTAATTCTAAACTAAAAAATGTACATCACTTACCTTTAAAAAAAATAGAAGAACAAGCAAACCAAAACCAAATTAAAAGATTGATTGTATAGTGGAAAAAAGAGCCTTAAAAGTATTTCATTCATGTGGACCAACAGAGAGTCTGCACTATATTAAGACCAACACTTCAAAGGTAATAACATTACTGAATTTAATGAAAGAACATTATAAACATACTATAGACACAATTGCAGACAACTTCAGTTAAAATAAATGTGAGGTAGACTGACTAGTGAAGCTAAATTCACCATGTTTTGGTTAAAAGAGTTTTACATCAAGGACTGCTTCAAATCTGAGGAACTTCCTATAGAGTGAGTAGCTCTATGTAGGAAACAAGATAAACAAGGAATTGTTGACAAACAAATGTGGCATCTACATCATTATCACACTGTTGATCACATACTTTATTTCTTAAAAGTTTATCTCAGTAGGAAACTGGTCAAGTGTGAAGCAGTCCAAGAGAGCAACATTTACTCTATTTTTTTAGAGATCACATAAAGCAACTATAAATTACAGAAATAGAATCTGAGTCATTTTTTTAAAAAAAGTACAGATTATATTCAGTATAACCTGAGACTTGTCAATTATTTATATTTAACAAGCTCACAGGTAAAATAATGCTGGCCTTTTAATACATTCATATCATCACCTTGCTACAAGGCTTGTAAATGAAATAATATCATCATAACATTTGGTATCTTGCTCTGATCTCCTGTCCCCACTTATCACATTCAGAATTTATTTCACTATTACAGAAAACTTAACATTGAGGTTGTGAAGACATTTACTGAAGAGGTTTCAAAGAATATTTAACCAAAACTCTTCTGTCTTTGCTTTCGTGAAACTATGTTGAACTATCAATTGTTCTTGTCCAATTTAGAAAATATATTTTAAGATCTTTCCACACAATCACACAAAACATTGCTTAGTAATAAGAGAGAATAGAGTTTTTATACATCAGTCAATGATAAACAAACAAAATATATTCCCACACAATTTGTTTAACAGGGAGTGCACTAGTAAATTCTAAACAAAAACTTCACAATTTGGATAGCATGTGAGTTAAACACTTCATGCTGTGATTACAACTCAACAGTAGTAAAAACCATATGGTGCATCAAATACAATAAGAACCTGCTACTCAGGAAATACATTTTCTTATGTATAAAACATAGTGTTTGCTCAGATATTGTAACCACTTACATTCTCCTTCAAACATGGCCCTAAACCCCGATTGTGTGAAAAGACCCTTTATCTGTAAATTCTCAGCTTCTATTTTTATACCTCTTTATCAAGGGTCAAAGCACCTGGAATTTTAAGAACATAGTGCAAACTTCAAAAATATAAAGAAGATTTCAAAAGCTTTCAATTTGCAAATTAGCAATAAAATGGCAACTCTTTGGAAACATTTACAAATTATGTTCAGCCTCATAAAACTACAATGAAACCTAGATTATCTGACACCCCCTACTTGTAACTTTTATGTAAATTTCTATTCCCAAAACGTAAAGGTACTTATTAAAGTATAAGGCAAATGTTATAAGGGTACCAAAAAAAGAATATACTAAAGTAAACAATTGTTCATTTGAAATATGCTACATTTATGTAAAAGTACAATAAAAACAATAGATTTGAAAACCATTACTTCCCTTTCAGCTTCAATATATTATGCTTTTCATTATTTGTAAACAGCTCTTTCACAAGTAAAAAAGTTGCATGATTAACACTTTGTTCTAAATGCAATTTGGGCAGGTGCTTCATTGAGAGTTCCAGGTATCATCCTTTGTATTTAAACAGCCCCAAACAAATTACTATTTTTCATCATCTTATGAAATAGGCTGCACAACTTTAAATATCTGTGCAAGAAATGTTAAGATTTGTGTCCGAAGGAAGAACTACAGTAAAGGATCACATAGAAGAAATTGAAAACTGACTAACAAGCAGGAAATAAGGGGAATTCTGTCTATAGGTAGTCCTCGACTTACAACAGTTCGTTTAGTGACTGTTCAAAGTTACAATGGCACTGAAAAAGTGATTTATGACAGTTTTTCACAATTACAACCTTTGCAGCCTCCCCATGATCAGGTGATCAAAATTCAGATGCTGGGCAACTTGTTCATATTTATGACCGTTGCTGTGTCCCAGGGTCATGTGATCACCTTTTGCAACCTTCTGACAAGCAAAGTCAATGGGGAAACCAGATTCACATAACAACCGTGTTACTAACTTATCAACTGCAGTGATGCACTTAACAATGGAGTCAAGGAAAATCATAAAATGGGGAAAAACTCAACAACAGAAATTTTGGGCTCAATTGTGGTCGTAAGTCGAGAACTACCTGCATTGTTAACTGCAGTATGAAGACCTGATTGTACTAGACTCATTTAAAAATTCAGCATATTTCACAGCACAAAGTGCTGGTGCAAAGAACCTCACTTTTACACAACTTAATGCCTATTTAAAATTTAATACATCTCTTTCTGTCTAATTCAAACAAATAAAAAGTACAGGGCTTGATCCAGTCAAGCACATACACGGTATTTGCATATGAAGGAGTTGTGCTAAGCTCAGGAAAGCTCCAGTTCTCCCATTCCCCACCAAAGTACAGACATGTGCAAGCAGTGCAAGAGGCATTGTAGCAAGAGATGCTCTGGACCTACCTCCCATTTCCCTAATTCTGTGCCATCTAAAATCACTTAAGCTTTGGAGCAGAAGCATGGTGCCAAGGTGCCAGATCCAGACAGGACTTACTGCCCTGTTACGGTGCCTCCATTTGGCCATTTGCTCACACTGGCAAGTAGAGGGAACAGAGCTGTATGAGTCCCGCTGGGCCAGTGTTTAACTGCTTCAAACCCTATAGACTGGCCCACTTTTCCAGGTGTGTTTTAGATTGTTGGAAAGCATGGCGTCTGTTGCTGGTCCCAATTCAATGGAAAGTGATTCCTGAAGGACTTTTATAATTTAATTACATAATAAAATACTAAGCCCTGTTTTTCCTGTTCTATGCTCAGTCTCTTCATCACAGAATAGCAAAATGCTCTTCATAAAGCACAAAACTAACATTTTTTATCCCCAGCACTAGAGAAAGCTGAAGCATGTGAGGCATCCACTGCAGAAACAATTCCAGGAATTTCAGCTATGCAAGAAACGAGGAGGTTATTTAGCCATTTCAAAACAACATACCATAACACTGAGGACAGAAATCATTGGTGGAGCTTAAATACACTGAAGAAACAATATGCAAAAGCTATCTATTTAGGCTGGCTGAACAGATACTTTTCAAACCACGGTCAGTGATGATCTGAGTGCAAAAAGCAGGTTTGTACGCAGCCTCTCCTTTGGGATCCAGTTCCATATATATTGTCGAAGGGAAAAAAAATAATGTCACCTACACAGATTCTCTTCACAAAGGATCTCTGGATTTAAATCAATAACGCTACCCCCCAAGCCGCATCTTTATATAAATGCCTGCCGTACATTCACTGATTTGTTCAGGCTTTTGAAGTAAACGTTTTAACTTTTGTGGAAACTTTGCCAAAATAGTTTCAATACATTAAAAAAATTACAAACCTTCACCTAACACTGCACAGAAAGTGAATAAAGATTATTCTTTCAAACACAAATACCTGTGTTTTGTAGTTTTAAACCCCTGAGTTTAGACCGTACCAAAAGTACAGATATGAAGAGAAATGGACAGCATTCCTCAGTACATCATCTTCAGACGAGCCCACTTGCCTTGTGTGTGTCTCATGTAACTCAAGCTGGCAGAGGCCGAAAGTAATTTCATCCCCCCTCCCCTTGAAAAGATTTCTCCATATCTTAGTCACAGTGGGAATATCGTCTTCTAAATCAGTGACCCAGAAGGAATTAACTTGAGATCAATGCTCTTTCAATCATAAAATAAGAGAGAAAGAACTTCTAAAACTCGGCCTGAATTCAGGGAAATCCTTAAAATAGTGATTGAACACAAGTCTTGGGTTGCACTTTGCTCCACAGTGATTGTACATTAACTGAAATAAGGAAAAAGAAATAATTCAGATCATCGGGTTCTCCTGCATCCGGTGCCTTTGACTCAAGCTTATACATGGCGCCCAGTTAGAAAATAGAGAGGCTTGTCATCAGAGCTGTTAGCAGTTTGGAATTCATCTCTCAGACGGAACTGCCACTCATCTTCCAGCTCTAACCGCACAATGGTTTGACGCAAGGAGCTCCTGTCTTGGCATATCACACACAGTGTTGCACCTAAAGTTAAAAGATGAAATTAAATAGCAGACAGTTTATACCACAGTTTAATTTCCACAACATTTATCTTCTGCCATTGCTCTCTATTGCTTGGAAACATTGCACATTTTAAAAAAGAAACAGTAAAGAGTAATAGTAAAAGAGCCCTGGTGGCACAATGACCAGAATGCAGTATTGCAGGGCTAACTCTGTTCACAGCCAAGAGTTTGATCCTGACCAGATCAAGGTTGACTCATCCTTCCATACTTCCAAGATGAGTAAAATGAGGACCCAAATTGTTGGGGGTAATATGCCGACATAAATAGTGCAGAGTGCTGTAAAGTACTATATGGTGGTATAAATTTATTCAGATTATGACTTATAGATCATCACATAAATTTCAAATCAAAGTATACAAAGTACTTCCCTGATTTTCCTACCCATGAAAACATAGAAATACAGATATATTAATACGTTACAGATTTTATTACATCTATAGCGTTATTTTTTTGTTATTTTGTTTATTTTTGGAATCTGGATAAAAACGTATATGTTAAAAATATACTAAAGTAATACAAAATGCAAGGTAGAATCTCTGTATAACCAATCTTCTACATGTTATCAAAAGCCTGACCTCACCTTTTATCATTCACTGGGGGGAAAAATGGAGCAAACTGACAGCCTATCACCTTTATTAATAATGCAAGGTATGGAGTTCTGGAATTCTTTCCCTCTCTTTACAGCAGTGGCTATAGGAGATGTCTGCATTTTCTTCTATGTAGCAAAGTATGGTGTATCTCTCTGTGTGTTTCCAGGCTGTCATGTGTTGTATGTATGTATATGTACATTGGAAAGTTCAGGGCAGGCTGCACAGTGTCTCCTTTGGGTCATGGGACAAGGATGAAACGGTTAGCAACATTCCAGGGAACTGCCCATCCGCCTCTCTTATACAGAAGCACACCACATGTAGTCTCATTTCATTCAATTTTCAGAAAAAGATCATGTTGATGGACAGAGTCCCTAGGCTCTTTACATAGATTTTTTCACTATTTCAGGAATAACAAATAAACAATTTCTAGGATATTAAGGAGCAGTTAATTCAAAATTATTTAATATGTTCCCCAAAAATAGAGAACGGACTGCGTTTAAATGAGTATGCATTTTGCTTCTGGCTTTTTCATGTTTTAGGGGTAAAGGATATCGGAGAATTAGAAAGTATAACTGGAACTGGAGGACAATGCTGTTTTTCATTACACTTCTACAACTTTGTCAAATAAGGGTTGTTACATTGCACAGCATATAATGGCAATGTCTGTTCAGTCTATCCTTGTTAGGGACCAGTCAGCCAGTTCTATACAGAAATCACATTACCTTTCAGGAATTTGAACCTTTTAAGAAAGTCTGGTCCAACGAAGGAGTCACAAAGGTAGAGAAGAAGGCCACTGAAAAACACCCCTTCACAGTTCACATTAACTGAATGTGGCCGTGAACTTACATAGCAAAGAGCTACCTATACCAGAAATGGGAACAGATACATACATTTAAGTCTTCTTTCCTTAAAATGTTCTTATCTCAACATGAATATCTTATCAAATCAGCTTTAACGATCAGTGGTAAATTCCAAACACATTCATGTTTAGAATGTGGATTATCCTTTTAATAAATCACAACTGTTTCCAAAACAGACAAAGTGAGTTAAAGAAAATTAGGGCAAAAGTTGTTTAAACAGTAAAAAAAAAGAGATGAGAAGAATCTACAATATGCCGAAGAGCATTAGATTGTCTATCCAAACATTTTAAAAAGGTAAAATATCCTGGCAAATGGTTCTTAGCATCCAAAATATTGATAAAGCAATTAAAAAGAGTAATATCAATGCTTTAGTTTGACCAATAAAAGATAAAAGTCTCAAGACTGGAATTGTCTTGCCACATTCATTCCTTTCAAAGAAAAGACACTATTTCTCCTAAATTGTAAAATCCAAGGTTTTTGGATACATACCTGAGGCCCAATATTCAAATAGCAATCCACAGCTAAGACAGGGTTTTTAAAGTTGTAGATGGCCTTTGGGAAAAGCTTGTAAGTGGCATATTGAAGGAATTTCTCTAAAAGGAATTGAGCTGGAGCTGCCAAGAGGGTGTGCTCGCTGTCTGGAGCGCAAACATACTGAAGGGGTATTAGTGGAGTCAAACTTTCTGAGACCTAGACAGGAAAACAAGACATCCATGTGAAATATACTGAGAATATTTAGGCAGGTCAGGGTACAACTAGCATTCAATTATCAGTTTAAAATGTTGCACAGAGTGGGAAAAAATGGAGCTAAACATGAACAGATCTTGGCACACTATCCCTCTCTGGACCTTCTCTTGTGGTAGTGGTTGTGTATGATAGATAGATAGATAGATAGATAGATAGATAGATAGATAGATAGATAGATAGATAAATTTGGAAGTGCTACCAAGCAACAATAACAGCACACATCAGTGATACTGGACAGCCAGCACTTCCTATATAGGACGAGAGCCAGTTTGGTCTAATGGTGAAGGTACCAGGCTACAAACCGGAAGGCTATAAGTTCTAGTTCCACCTTCAGCATGAAAGCCGGCTGGGTGACTTTGAACCAATCATTCTCTCTCAGCCTCAATCTGCCTTGCAAGGTGGTTGTTATGAGGAAAATAAGAGGAGGAAGGAGTATTAGGTAGGTTTGCCATGTTAAGTTATTTGTAAAAATAATAAAGTTGGGAAATAAACAAACAATAAGGGGGGAAACCACTAAGAAAGAATTAAAATATTCCTATAACAAGCATTCATATTTATACAGGGACTGTGTAATGATGGCAAGTCTAAATAAGCAAATAAACAATCCCCTTTAGGAAGAGTTTTAGTAGGAGTGTCCAAAACATTTCATATCTGAAACATTTCAACATTTACATTTACAGTAAATCGTGTCTAACATACTGAGCTATGAACATAACACGTTTGTGTCAAAATCAAAGGCCTCGTTAAGCATGAAACACTTCTGAAATAATCAGAGCTAGAGATTGCTGCAATCTTTTGAACTCAAACTATTTCAAATTCAAAATCTTTTACAACCGCAAAGGTTTTTTGTGAATTTTTCATTATTATTTTTAAAAGCAGCCTTTATTCTAGGCCTGATTCCTGCATTGCACTACAGCTTGTTAGAAGCATTCATTGAAATCAGTCAGGAAGCAAGCAGCACATCTGGCAGCTGCAGAAGTAAAAGTATCTATCAAATATGTTTATATTTGATTTCTTGTTTATGGGTCCAATGATTAGCCAATTTGAATAGCTGAATGATTATCAAGAAAGAAATTGAAGGCCATGTGAGTAGAAAAAGACAAGAGCACAGAGCCACAGTTTGCCAAAACAGAGTTCCTGTACAAAACTAAAATATTTCATGATATATGTAAAGCCTATGGATGGAAAAAGACTAATAAGATTGTATCACATGGAGAAGTCAGGTAGTACAGAAATATAACCAATGAATAAGTAAAGCAATGGTTTGAAATGGAAGGAGACCAGAGACTATAAGTCATAAAACTCATTCAAACAGAACAAGAAATTCTTTTCCTCCTTTTCATCTAATAATCAACTAAGAGATTATAAATCTACAGAAGAGCCCATTAGGTGTGGTAGGTGTAGAATCTAGTGCCAATTGCACTGTTCTAGATAATCCAGCGAACAAGTTTGTCCGATAGTGAGAGGATCAAGACATGAACCAGCTGCTTTGTCATTTGGACACCTATAAAAAGTCAAGTGGGACTGAAACCAAAGGCGATGCTTGAGGCACATCTATGTTGACGACTTAGAATAGGACACAGTGCAAAGTAACACATTTCCTGGGCTTTCCCATAAGAGAGTTGGTACCAATGGCTATGTAGGGATGGGGAAGAAAAAGCTGCTTGGTAACTCTCACCAACCTGATTTCCTTCCTCTCTCCAGACAATTCCCCTATTCTGGAAATGTGCAGATTCTAGGTTGCTGGAGTGATTTTCTTTTGTTTTTCTAGAACTCTATCAAGTGGATACAAATGTAAGGAGAATGTTGAGGAAATCTAGTTCCTTTCTTAGGGAAGTTTTACTACAACAAATGTTTGTGAGTTGAACCAAGAGTATCCACTAATAGATTCTCAAGGGCTAGAGCTAGGCATGATTTGTATGATTCCTTATTTTAGTAATGTATCTTAATGGCTGGAAAAGGAAGGTAGGTTACTCCTTTTGTTAGAGGCCATAAATAACAATAATAATTACATTCATTAAGTTTGAATGTCACCTGACTCCTGATGACTCGCCAATCAATTGCAAATCAGTCAGATCAACCAGATCTTACCATGACCTAATGCCAAGCACTGAATGTATCACTTGGACCTGTTGTGGCCTGTCGGCCACCAGCCCTTCCAACAGTCAAATCAGAGGAGGAGGAGGAGGAGGCGTGGGAGTCAGGTCAGCATCAAGACAACCTGAGAGCTCCGAGGGGGAGAGGGAATGGAGCTGACTGAAAGAGAGACAGAGGCAGCGCCTGGGCCATCTGTCAGCCCTCAGGTGGAGAGTCAATAGCCCCCAGGTCTGGAGGTGGCTGATGAGGAAGAGGAGAAACAGCTGGTCCAGTGCCTGACACGCAGATGCGTAGAAGGCAAAGGAGAGGAGAGCAATGGAATTCTGTGGGCTGATTCTTGGGAAGGAAGAGCCACCACTGCTAGCGAAGTCCAACCCTAGCTCTGAGGATAAAAGGCAGGGGGCAGAGATGAATCGATGTGGCAGACAACTATTCATCTTCCAGCTGGACAGACTTGTTAGCCTGTCGTGAGAAAGAAAGTTTTTGCTGGGGCTGCCGGCACGCCTAATTAAAGGAATCTTTGAGTTAACTTCAGAGAGTTTGTCGTATTTGGGGAACTGGATCAGAACAGGACCACTACTCCTGGCCTAGACAGATCAATGATTTGTCCCTCAGAAACATTCCCCCATATTTATGACTTAATAAGGAAAGGGAAGTGGGGAGAAGAGAGGGGAATACAAAAAGCATCTTTTTCTACTCACCATGATTTTCGGTTTAATATCAAAATCTTTTTGACCGCCAACCTGGATATATTTTTTCATAAGACTGAAGTTGTTAAAACAACAGATAAGCAAGCCACTGCTGTTTGTTCTCAGATTAAAATCTACGTCTTCACAGAAATATCTAAGTAAATGAACATAGATTTACATATGGTTATAGAATCTGATGCTCTCCAAATAAATTGATACTATAGTTCCTAGAATTTCTCTTTAATATTAGATACGCTCATTGAGACTTCATAGAGCTGAAATCTTAGCTGGAAATCATAGGCTTAGGAAACTAATTAGGACTTCTAGCTTAGAATTCTACAATACAAAATCACAACAGGAGGCTGTATATGTACAAATATTTTACAGTTAAGGCTCCATATAATTTACACATTAAGATACAGTCACTTGCTTAGAGGTTTCACCTACATCGCCTCCCAAATAAAACACTTAAAATAATGTTAACCCAAAGTTACTTCTTCCTACCAGATAGGAAGACAAGTGAATTTCCTTGGTCCCAATTCTGAACCTTGGATAGTAAATGAGTTCCAAATTAGAAAACAAATGAAAATATTCATGGAGAAAGTGCTTGGTTACAAGACAATTATCTCCCATGCTTGAATTCTGTCCCATATAATGTCCCAATGTCCCAAGCTGCCAAAGAGGGAAGGTATCAATTAGCACCAGGCAGAAAAATTATTTTATCTCCTCCTCCCTCCCCTACCCCTTACTAGTATTCATTTAACCTAATGAAACAAAATGCTGATCAAAATCTCATGGATGAAATAAGATGTTCTTGCACCTGAGTTCTCTACAAAGTGCTCAAGAGGAACGGAGGCAAACCTTCTGCCCTTCATTGTCCAATCCTCTTTCCAGCAGACATCAACCTCCTACTTTACCATGTTCCAAATAACTATTAAAGAAAAAATGTCATGTAGGAACTTGTCTCATTGACCTTTTTCAGGAGAGCAAATGTAGGCAAGCAAGAACAAGGAGAGAAAACATATGAAGAAATCCAATCTAGCACCATATTTGACTTGCATACTTTTACCCACCTGTTCAGATCATATTGCACATTTTGGGTCAGGTCAACGTTGAGCAGTATAAAATCATGTATGTGGCATCTGGAAAAGGGGACTTTGGGTGCTCTAGAATTCAATTTGCTGTTCCATTTCTGAATGCCCAATATTGCATAATGGACAATTTTGGGTGTGGCTTCAATATGCTGTAGGACACTCTTTAGAGATACGTTTTTACTGGTTGCTCCTTGATCCATACACTTACTACTGAAAGGCAAAAAGCCAAAAAACATGAGTAGATTGAAACACAGTGATATCTACAACACATACATGAAGATAACTGCTTAGGAAATAAACATGAAAAATGGCACAACAAATGCAGCATTCTCCTTGGATCACTGTGAACCAGACTTAAGCTGCCATTCTACAGTCATTCAGTTTTTTAAGCTAATCAAGAAGTGGCTATTTTTATGAAGATACTAGTACTGGATGCCTTAGGAGACTGCCACATAGCACCATTTTCACTCCCCAATATCTCTCAATTGTTTTCAAGCAGATTGTGTGATTGTCTTGACCTGCAGATTTCAGCATGTAGAAAATAGACAAGGAACACCATAAGCTAATCAATGTTTTATATCTGATCAACAAAAGAATGCAAAAAATGATCATGCCCTCAATGCATCATTCCAATCTTTTCCATTTTGGAAGAACAAAATTCTCTTATACCCTCTACTTCCTGGACAAGGGAAACAAAATAAATTGCTTGCAACAGTCTCCAAATCATATTTTCAATTCTATTAAATCAAATTCATTAATGGACACATACAACTGAATTATAATATTGAATAATGGCTTTAAAATCAGAAAGATAAACTACTGAATACACTTGAGATTATCCTTAGCATATTGCCCTTTATTTTTTAAAAAGCTGTCAAACAGTAGATACAGTTAAGATACTGAACAGTGTTTCAAGCATTTTAGTTACTTTGGTGCAATATTTATATGATGAATGTTTCCTAATAAAGCAAAGGTTCCAGTTTACTAATCCTATCCTGTGTCATAAAATATCCCATTTTAGATGCCTAAAGGAATATCTATTTCATGTTATCAAGTATCATCATCACAGCAAACTTGCCCTTTCTTGCCTTGAACCAGTGGATACGACATTAGGATTGATCCAAGATTCTGCGCCTAGTCATTAGTGCCACATCAGCTTTGAGAAACTTACCTACATTGTTCTTGGACAACATGACTGTTCCATAAGACACAAGAATCATCCATTACAACAATAAATGGCCAAACACACTGACGTTTAATTCCCAGTTCCTCCAAACGATTTCTTTCCAGTTCCAGGTTATGGTAAGAAAGCTCTTTAATTAGGAATCTCGCAGCACCTGAAAATAGGTAATAGGGAGACTGGTATTTCTAAATGTTTGAGTGGCAAAAATGGGCTTGCATGAAAAGTCCAAAGAGGAACAGATTCTAAATTAAAGCTAGATCAGTGTTTCTCAACCTCAGCAACTTTAAGATACAACATAGGGTTTTTTCTTTCTTTTTTTCTTAGTTTGTATTTTTAGTTTGTTTCTCTATTTTTTCAAGTTTTTTTAATTTAAACAATACAGCCAAAAGACGAACAGAGGTAGATGCAAACATTTCGTATTGACTCATCAGTACCTACATTACAATAATAGAGTTATTGTATCAAATATACAATGTATCTTTTCTTTTATGTACACCGAGAGCGAATGCACCAAGACAAATTCCTTGTGTGTCTAATCACACTTGGCCAATAAAGAATTCTATTCTATTCTATTAAAATATAAGAGCTAGCAAGAACATTAATTAAGCCTATAACATATGCAGGAAAGCAACCAATGGCAAACCGCCTTGTGTGTGCAGAAATGACTTTATGTCAATCTACGCCTCCTGTGGGGCTGATTTTAACCGTGTTGTTGTAATATAGGTACTGATGAGTCAATACGAAATGCTTGCATCTACCTCTGTTCGTCTTTTGGCTGTATTGTTTAAATTATTAAAAGGGACTGTTTTAAGGTTTTTTAAGTTTAAAGATTGTTTTGTTAATTGTGCATCTATAATTTTTTTAAGAAAAAAATCTTTTTTAAAAAGTAATAAAATGTACATGAATTTAACAATAGAAATAGGGAATTATTCTTAAAGATGCCACAAAGAATGGAAATTATTATTATTTAAAAGTTTACTGCTAACTAGACTAAAATCTTTTTATACATGTCCTTATTATGGATTTTTCTCTTCTTTCTGTCTTGCAAACAAAAGGAAAATACCCATATTCTAGACTCTTGTCCTACTCACCAACTCCTGCATTGTTGAACATGCCAGGTAGAACCAGCATGATATGGTTGGGCCAGTATTTGCGGTAAAGTGGCATTTCATATTCCTTGACCACAAGAAGATGGAGGTGGCTGATGCCTTCCATAGCATGATAAAGATTCAAGAGACCATGTTCATGACGTCCACTTGAAGGTGTAAAAATAGGACTCTTTACTGTATTCAAATTCTGCAGGATGACAAGCCAAAAGAAATATAATGTGTTTCATATTCGTGCTCATTGTCCATGATTTTAATGTTGCTTACTTTCAGGACTGTGTGATATATGGAAAAATCATGCTGGAAGAATTCTGCCAATCAGAACATTCTTCTATTTTCATTGCCTTCTCTCTTTTCCCCATAAATATTGTGAAGAATAATTTTAAATTGTTATGTAGTTGTATAACATAGTTTGTATATGTTGGCTTTATTTCTAAAAGAATACCTGGGTAGGCTGAGATCAGTTTATAAAACTGAGAGATGGAAAGGAAGAGCTGATAGTTGCGTATCTAAAATACCTACTAATGTATCAGTAGTTTGAATCCAGAAAACCCTGACAGTGCACCCTAAATGTAATCTCACCAAATGATAAAATCTCACTGGTAATGGTTGTGAGCCTCTATCTAGATTATGAGTGGGTGGGCAGAATTTTCAGAAAGCAGAAATTTTAACAATGATCTCTAATACTGTCATCCCTTCAAGTTAGGTCAGGAAACAAATGTCACAATGAATACCAGAACTCTACTTTCTTGATATAGATTATACTATCAGTAAATGGAAAGCTTAATAGCATTTCTCTTTCCTAGCCTCTTATACTAAATAGAGATGAGGCTTCTTGAGCTTATTTCTCACCCTTCCTGTTTTTCTGGGGTAAATTTATGTTTTCCGAATGGCTGCTGTGTGTCTTTCTCAAGGCCATCTTTATACTTCTCTACTAGTTGGGGAAGGGAGCTTTATAGTTCCTGCTTGTCTCCCAGCAACTATTCTCAATGCTTGCTGGTTTCCCATTGAAAGTAGTGAAAGAAATCCACAATCTTGCGCAGCAGTTTTTAGCCCCTATACATCTTTGGCTTTTTATTTATACATGGATATGGACACACACATGGGCCTCAACCCTGAACAACAAGATGCTGCTTATATGGCTGGAAAATAAAAGATCCATGAGTTAATTGAAGGTAATGAAAAAGAGACCTAGTTCAGACTCTGGAACTGAGTATCAGCCTTTTAGATATATAGACTTAGAACTTAGACTTAGAATAACTTCATTGTCACTTTAATTGTACACTAATCGGCATACATTAAAATGAAATTTCATTGCATACAACTCTCAAAGGGTCACCACCTTCAATATACACTACATAAACATGAGAAAACAAACAAACAAACAAATAAATATGCATATACCCACAAACCCACATGTATTATATGACACAAAGAAACAACGCAGTCTAGTTCGGATGTAATACATGTACATGGCGAGAGAAACAAATCTTGCGAATTTACCAGATGGATGCCATAGGGAACAAAGCTATTACAGAATCTGGTAATCCTGCTAGGAAAATCCTCCCAGAGGGGAGCAACAGAAACAGACCATAAAGTGGGTGTGTGGGGTCTCTAACAATGCTTTGGGCTCTAAGCACATAGCGTTTATAAGCAGAATTCCTAAACAACATGAAGCAAACTTCCTATAATCTTCTCGGCTGTCCTTACCACTCTCTGTATGGATCTTCTATCTGAGGCACTGCTGCCACCAAACCAAACAGTGATGCAGTTTGTTAACTCTCTCAATCGTGCCTCTGTAAAAAGTGGCCAGGACAGAAGGAGAAAGATGTGCTCTCCTCATCTGATGCAGGAAATGCAGACGCTGGTTTGCACAGTTCACTAAGGATGATGTGTGGAGACACCAAGATTGTTAGTTATCTGCACCCTCGGGTACTTAATACTGTTGACCACCTCTACAGCAGCATCCTTTCTAAAATCTACAATAATCGCCTTCGTTTTATTAGCATTTAGAACCAGGTTACTTTTATTGCACCAGTCCACCAGAGCCTTCACTTCTTCCCTATAAGCATCTTCATTGTCGTCCCAGATAAGACCCACCACTGCCGTGTCATCCACACACTTCACAATATGATTCATAGCAGATTTGGCACAGCAGTCGTGGGTCATTAAGGTGAACAGTAGCGGACTCAAGACACAGCCCTGTGGTGGACCTGTACAGAGATGGAGTTGGAAACTTTTCTTCCAACTCATACAAACTGGGGCCTATCAATAAGGAAATCAATCCTTACTGAAATCAATACTTGCATGTATCTATATAACTCACAACCTCAGTCAAAACACATTTCACTAACCTTATCAGACACAAGAGGAAGACGCATGCTTTCCAAATGTCTGCCCTGTTTGCTGAAGACAAAATAGTTTTCTTTGGATTTGGGAATGATAAAATGTAGCTGAATCTCTTCTCCTAACATTGAGGATGAGAATGTAAAGGCATGTAGGGTAGAATCAGACATCTGCATACAAGGGAGAAAAAGATATTGTAACGGACTAAAGAGACCAACTGGCAATATTAACCAGCTTTCTTTTGTGAGGCTATATTATCAAATGTTATATATGTGGGCAACATATCTGGATTACTTTTACGAAAATATTCTGCTGTTTGACTCATCTTCATTTTGTATCACAATTTAGGATAAGAATGTTTTCATATTGCTAGTAAAACTTTGCCCATAGTCACATACTAGGGAATTTTGGCTAAAGCTAGGTAATACTTTCAAAAGAGATGTTTCACAAAACACAGGGATATGAATATAGCATTTATCTGCAATAAAGATAAATGTTTCCAGAATCACATGGATACCACAGATACCTGTACAATCCCAGAAAATGACACAACTGCATTAATGAGTCATCAGTAGTGCTGTGTTCATATTCCTGCGTTTTTTCAAGAGCCTTTTCCATCAAAAGCTAAAGCATCTGCAGTATTTAACGTACAATAGCTTTTTCCAAAAGGGTAGAGAAATTCCTTATAAATTGTAAAACGCTTTCAATACTTTAACCACTATTCCATTCTGTTCTCATAAAAGTATTAGTCTTAGAGGGTTTTTTCCTCAATGGGACCCTGGTGGAAAAAATAATGCCTGCTAGATGGAAGCATTGAATACCGGAGCTGAAGGATTTGTGTCCATATATTGATGGCACTGTTCACAGTGGTGGAAAGTATTGTAAGCTGCGTACTTCGTCAGCATCATAGAAACAGTATTACGCTTTATGGATTCTTCAACTTTGGTTTCTCTGTTGGGTTCTGTGGACAAAGGCAATGAAAGGAAAACAGCTAACTTAACAAATCCTAAAAATTATTTGTTAAAATACTCCAATAAATTTATGAAAAACTAGATAGGAAAAAGAAACTATAATTTAGTGTTCCTTCACCCTGCTTTATTTTTTGCAGTTGCTCTGTGTAGACTGGACTCATAAGAACATATTTGGGATCATGCACACTGAGATCAAAATTCATTTTCCTGACACTTTCAACGTCAGGCCACTGATCACTGCCAGCCTGGGCAATTTCATTTTCTTCCACATGATCTAAAACAAAATATGAATAACTAGTTAATACTCAGATCATAGTTTTGTGTTATCTAAATTCCTCATACAGATTACAATATTTTCAGTAAATATTACAATTACAATGTTACCGGTAAGTATATAAAAACTACAAAGTATTTTAGAGAAATTAGATAAATGTTTCTAAGAATAATATTTTATCATCAGCGAAAGTATCAGGGAGAATGTTTGTCAAGAATAATTTGATATGCCTACTTTTGATTTGTCATTACTCCCTCTACTTTTTTGTGCTAACATAAGGCCAAATTTGTATTACAAGAATTGGTTTTCTCTTTTTAGAGTACTCTGTAAGCTTCACACATATTAAAGAGAACTGTCTTCAGAAATTAGAACAGAAGCTCTTAGTACTCACTGATATTAATATCTTCCTCATCATACACGTCTACCTCCAGCAATCTGATCAGCATTCGAAAGAGAATTCGTAGGAACTGCAAATAAGAGCCAGTTTTCCCAACCTAAATAATAATGATAAAAAACAGCTTCTGAAAATAATCCTATCAGAAAAGTGTATTCATTTTGTTCTGGGATCTCCTGCTTCAATCATTTCAAAAAAGAATAATTGTTCGTTCAAGCTGTGACAAACAAAATGTATGCATGGCAATACACTTTAGAGCACCAAGTATTTATTAAGTGGGGTTTCAGAATATTAATTTTTTAAATAAAAATTTACCTATCTTGTTGCACAATGAATTTTTCAAAAGCAATTGCTATGCCTCAAAGTTCTTTTAGATAAAGCTCTGAGATGTCAATAATTCATGAGCAGCTTATAAAATCAAATCATTCTTCACAGAAATCTTCTTTAATTAACATGCTTGCTTGCCCAAAATTTCATTGCTGTAATTTACTGAAGATTCAGTGATTTCTTGCCGGTAAGAAAATTACATGCCTACATTTGGACTTATTTAACAAAATAAAGATTCAGATTACAAAACCTTCACATGAATTATTTGATTCAAATATTATTATCTAATATTAATATTATTGAAATCAACTTCATACGTAATCAATCAGCTCTTCTTCTCTTAGTGGAATTAAAATGCTCAATAACATTATTTCATTTATCCATTCTATTTTTCCTCACTATCCAATATCAAATATTTTAATCAATACAGGACTAATTCATTCATACAAATATACTATCAGTTGCTGGAAATTATTTTTATTTAATTCAGGTTTTTATCCATTTTTAAAAGAACAGAGAGCTTTTCAAATCATATGCTTCATGTAAAGTTTGCGGGGTGTCTCAGGGCTCGGTCCTCTTTCCCCTCCTATTTAACATCTACATGAAGCCGCTGGGTGAGATCATCCAATGATACAGGATGAGGTATCAGCAATACGCTGATGATACCCAGCTGTATATCTCTACCCCGCATCAATTCAGTGAGGCGGTGGATGTGATGTGCCGGTGCCTGGAGGCCGTAAGGGTCTGGATGGGAGTCAACAGGCTCAGACTTAACCCAGAAAAGACCGAGTGGCTGTGGGTATTGCCTCCTAAAGACCATGCTGATTGTCCATCCTTGGTTCTGGGGGGGGGGGAGAAATTGTCCCCCTCAGAACAGGCTCACAATTTGGGTGTCCTCCTAGACTCACAGCTAAGATTAGAGCAACATCTGTTAGCTGTGGCTAGGGGGAACTTTGCACAGGTTCGCCTGGTGCACCAAGTGCGACCCTACTTGGATCAGGAGGCTCTCCTCACAGTCACTCATGCCCTTGTCACCTCATGGTTAGATTATTGCAACACGCTCTACATGGGGCTACCCTTGAAAAGTGTTCGGAGACTACAGTTGGTCCAGAACACAGCCGCAAGAGCTGTCGTGGGTGCACCTAGGTACACCCACATTACACCAATTCTCCGCAAGCTGCACTGGCTCCCTATTGGTCTCCGGTCACAATTAAAGGTGTTACCTTTAAAGCCCTACATGGCTCAGGGCCAGGGTATCTTCGAGACCGCCTTCTACCGCATAGCTCCCAGCGACCAGTAAGATCCCACAGAGTTGGTCTCCTCAGGGTCCCGTCAGCTAAACAATGCCGGCTGGCGGACCTGCGGGGGAGGGCCTTCTCTGTGGCTGACCCAGCTCTCTGGAACCAGTTACCTCCTGAGGTCCGGACCATCCCCACCCTATTGGCCTTCCGAAAAGCGGTGAAAACCTGGCTCTTCCGGCAGGCCTGGGGCCGTTGATCTCGCTGTTGCGATCTGGAGAGATCCGGCCATGAATGGTGTGAATGAGTTTTAATTGTTTTTAATGGTTTAACTTTTAATGTTTTATATATGGGTTTTAAATGCATTGTAAGCCGCCTTGAGTCTTTGGAGAAAGGCGGCATACAAGTTGAACAAATATAATAAATAAAATAAAATAAATAAATAAAGTTCATCACTTATTTTAAAAAAACCCTCTTTTCACTAAAACCTGTGGGAGGAACATGACAATAGTACGAGTCTAACATGAACTAAGTTGTTATAGTAATTGTGAATTACTACACATTGTAATTTTTCCTATACATCTATGAACTCCAGGCTTTCAGATAAGGCACCAAAAATGTTAGAACTTGCAAATGCTATCTGTGTACTGACATGAGTAGAATTTATTATCATTTGTTTAATAGACTTGATCACTGTGAAAAGAAAATCACTGAATGATCAGGGACCTTAACAAAATAATCCATTCATTTTGAATTGCTGGAAAGGTATTACTAATCATCTCAGAGGTGTCATCAACCTTGGAAATTAATACTGTCTAACTAATACTCTGCGATACTCTCTTTATAGTGGGTGCCATGATGGCTCACGGTTAAGACATTGGGTTTCTCAGCTGAAAAGCTGATAGCCCAGATATGAGACATGAGTGCTGCATGATGGGGTGAACTCCCATTACATGCCCCATCTCCTGTTAACTAAGTTCAATAGCATGCAAATGTGAGTAGATAATTAAGCACTGCTTCAGTGGGAAGGTTATTGCATTCTGTATTTTCACGCTACCCACATGATGATGGAAGTGTCTCTCAGACAATGCAAGCTTTCTTGGCTAAGAATCAGAGATCAGCACTGGCCCCTTAAGTCAGTCACGACTGAATGGGGGATACCTTTAAACCTTGATTTATAAAATGAAAGTGACTTCTTAAAGTCTTAAGTGAGGGCTGAAATTATTTCAGTGGATAATGTTCGGATGATCAACTGTTTCCTGATTTATATTTGTTTGCAAGAAGCTCCACTTATATTTTTGTGGACAAAATTTATTACAAATATTACATAGACCCCAATCTCCACCATGTTCTGATATAAAGAAAATAATATTTTGTATCCCTGACTACTGATTTCCCCTTGCCTGCAGAAAATAGATGTATGTAATCAACAGGCATGAATATGCAAGGACCAAAAGGTTCTTTTAAAAATTATTACTCAGCTGTAAAAGCTAAAAATATGTCCTATAGTATTTGATTGACATGGCAGACTTTGTGGGATTTGGGGCATTTGATATGATTATGAATCAGGAAAAAAATCCCTCAATTATGAAGGCAAGACTGAGAAGTAGAAGAAGGGCAAAACAATAGCTAAGGTGGAAACATGGGATCAAAACGATCCCAGAGATTTACCAAGAAGGTGAACATTTTTCCTTGCAATGACCAACAGTCCAGTCCAACTCAATGGCACCCAACTAATCACGCTTGAGCTTTCTTTTCTCATATGGTAATAATTACTACCGTTTCTACTTACGCTGGGTATCAGAAATCTATTTAAAGCTGCACTTCTGCAGTAGCTCATACTCAATAGGAAGAAATACTGTGAAATTAATTGGCCATATTTGCACATATTGATAAACTGAGACTTGCTGTTTATTAGTGCCTCTTTCCACAAGTAACTCAAACAAACAGGTAGGAGATATTATAGCATCGCGATGGCGAACCTATGGCATGTCGCCTGGCACACACGGCATCGCCCATTCCTCTTCTGGGTTTCTGGCGTGCATGCACACACGATGATCAGCTGGCCTTTGTGCGTGCAGCAGTGCCGGAAATTGGAAGAGCTGGTCTTCCATTTTCTGGCGTGAGCATGCGTGCCAGCCAACTGATCAGCCCATGCGCACGTGCGGCAGTAACCGGAAGACCTTATCCAGCGTGTGCATGCCCCCTGGGCAGCTCCTCTTCCTGGTTGTGGCCCTGATGAGTGCACACATACTGCTACCTTTTTGGCACTCGGTGCCAAAAAGATTCATTGTCACTGTTATAGCATCTAAAACCAGGCTCTAGAATACTTGTTTCCTGGTTATTACCTCCAAGTAATTTGGAATTGTTCTAATTTATAATTCTAGATTTTTCAGGAACATTTAACTAGAACTCTGGTTTAGATAGCATTAAACTTTATCCCTTCCTAATTATTTTTTATTAATGTCCATAAAGGAAGGACATAGTCATAAAGCAGCATGCACTAATTTGTTGCTCAATCTTACAAACATGCAGAAGCATGCAAAATTCAGTTAAGAAACACACAGAGTTAAGTAACCTGGTACCAGCTCTGCTCTGAATCCAGTGAAGATGCAACCACATCTGCTCTGAAGCATAGATTTCATGGCTTGATTACAAACAGGTTGAGAGAGAAAAAGACCCAGTATAGTGTGCAAATGGTCTGTGGAAGGTCATTGGTTTGGGCCCAACTGACATCAAAACAATCATAAATTTCACTCCAAGGATGTAGTGATTCACACTATAATAGAAGCATTTAATACTACAGCCTGAAATAAAAGATTCCAGGGAATTTACATGCTCCAAATAGCCATAGTTGCTTATAAATTGTATTTCCCAAAGTGTATTTTATCATTAATAAATGTGAATTACTAAACATTTTATTCTTTCTTATTTTGTAACAGCACCTTCCTTAATCTGCTTAGATGTTTTAGGAATTTCTACTTCCAGAATTCCTAGCCAACATAACTTAAAGATGGGGAATCTCAGGCACATCTTCCCAACTCATCTGGAAGAAGCCAGGCTGGAGAAGTCTGTTCTGCCCCATAATGTCCATTTACCTGAGGTGGCCCTGTAAGAAGTAGCCGTCGTGGATGAAAACTTCTGCTGCTAGTGGTTTCACCATGGTTGCTGTAGTCTGCATGGTGTTGCCGTGCAGTAGTCCACTGTCGGTAATAAAGAGACTGCTCTTCACTGGTCATATCCTTATGAAGCAAAGGCCTTAGCGAGCTCACCCAAGACACATCGGCATGAGGTAACAAAGCAGAAGAAAAAGGTGTCTGCCCACTTTTCTGTGAACCAAGGAGGCAATAGGCAGCTTTTGACAAGATCACAATTCGGGGTAAGCATATGTGCAGTGTCTTGCAATTTTTCGCTGGCTGGTTAGGCCATCGGAAGGTCTGGCTGACCGAAGGGGAAGCTGATGACAATTTAGACGTGGTGCTGCTGGCTATCTGGTTGGCTAGAGAGTCACATTCTTGTTTCAAAGTCTCCCCAGCAGCAAAGCCTTCATCAACAGAGCTAGTAGCAACGTTCTGGAAGTTCATAGACTTTGACTGTTTTTGAGACTTGTCTGTGGCACTAGAGGAGCTCACTCCATTTTCTGCTATAGAACCTGGAAGGTAGATTGAAAGGAAGGAAAAAGAAGAGCTGAAGGATATTCAGTAACATATAATGCATAATACATTGTCCTGCAACTTCTATACCAAAAATATCCCGCTTACACCTGAGCTTTGGAACAGCACAAAAGATCAGGAGAGGATAGGTAAATAGATGTGAACAGAGAATGAATTCTATAATACACAATTAAGGACATGCAGAAGTAAACAGAACACATCATCACATTCCTACAATTTATAAAAGGTGTAGGATATCTGTCATCAGCAAAAATGCAGCAGGAATCAGCAAATGTTTAATATGCAACCATCATTCCACAAAATATCTTCACAAAGAAACTAATATTTTGAATATTTTTCTAAAAGATACATTACAAAGGGCCAGAATGTGTGAAATATCACAACGCAGATTCATGCAAGATTTAAGTATCACAAAATTTCAGTCATGTAAACTAGAAATGTGTCATGTTGTCAAACTATTAGCGTACAACGTTTAGAATGACAAGGATTCATTTACATGAAAATAGTATCTTTTGTTTCATCACCCAGCCCTGTGATATTAATAGCAACTAAAAAGCCAAAAATTAAATATAATTTCCACTATGAAGAAGGCACAGATAAAAACATTTTGTCTTTTGTCAATAGTATGTGAGCAAGACCTGAAAAGAGAAAATCTTATAGCAGCGCTTATTCTTATAAGCAGTGCTTATTCTGTCAACCGGAAAATCACTAGAACACTGGGTTACTAAGTCTAGACCCAGGAAAGTTCTTTTTTATTTAAATCAGTATATATTCAACCTTTAAAAAGATGTTATAAGATCACAATAAGGCACTGGAATTATAATATGCCTACCTATCATAAATTGCCCTATGCCACTAGTTGGTATAACCTCATTCAGTATTAACTAAACATTGTCATTAAGAGCCATGGTAAGGCTGCCTGTAATTTGGCAGAACAAATCTCACCAGGCTCAAGGTTGACTCAGCCTTCCATCCTTCCAAGGTGGGTAAAATGAGGACCCAGATTGTTGGGTGCAAGAGGCTGACCTTGTAAACTGCTTAGAGAGGGCTGTAAAAGCACTGTGAAGCAGTATATAAATCTAAGTGCTATTGCTATTAAGGAGTTAAAAACAGCGTGAGCACCAACCCATAATGTAGTTTTCTTATATGGCTTAGTGCAGTGATGGCAAACCTTTTTGGCACCAAAAAGAGTGCCCAAACCAGAACGTGCGCGTGCACTGGAGCGCCAGAAACTCAAAGGCTTTCTGGAGCTCCAGCACGCACAAAGACCAGCTGGCCAATGCGCATACGTGTCCTGGAAACCAGAGCAGCAGCTAGTGACAGCGCATGTGTCCACAGAGAGGGCTCTGTGTGTACCTCTAGCACGTGTGCCATAAGTTCACCATCACAGGCTTAGTTGTTGTATATAATCTGCCAATTTGGATTTAATAAATTATGGATACACAAGCCATGATTTATTGTACTGTGGAACTCTTCATAACATCCAGTTCTTAGTAATGGTTATTTGAAAAGATTAACAGAAGAAAACCAACTCCAACAAGTCTAATTTCTCCAAATTTCAAATACAATGATCTAAAAAGGAACATTTAATGAGAGTATAATTTCCACAGATTTAGGGCTGCCAGGTCTGGGATGCAAAGATCCAGATCACCTTTATATGGCAGTAAAGATAGCAAGTTTTTTGCATCTCTTTGATGCCCTCTAATGGTTATCTGGATTTTTGCAATCAAGATTTAGTAGACCCAGCACCAGTGGTGGGTTGCTCCTGGTTCGCACCAGTTCGCAAGAACCAGTAGTAAAAATTTGTAGTAGTTTGGAGAACCGGTAATAACATTGGCTGGCCACGCCCCTGAACCGGTCCCCGGCCCAGTCGCTGCTTGCTTACCCCACCCACCTCATCAGAGGCTTTTTTTTTTAACTTTTAAAAGCATTTTTTCTATAACCTCTTTGGCCGAAAAAATGCTTTTAAAAGTAAAAAAAAAGCCTCTGATGATTGCGCAGCTCAGCTGGGATCACCAGAGGCTTTTAAAGGCATTTTTCCCCCCTACAACCTCTTAGGCTGAAGGGGTTGTAGGGAAAAAAAAGCCTTTAAAAGCCTCTGGCGATCCCAGCTGAGTTGCCTGATCGTCAGAGGCTCCTAAAAGCATTTTTTTCTGCAACCTCTTAAGGTTGTAGAAAAAATGCTTTTAAAAGTTAAAAAAAAAAGTTGGCTACGCCCACCCAGTCACATTACCCCCCACCAAGCCATGTCCACAAAATAAGCCATGCCCACAGAACCGGTAGTAAAAAATTTTTAGAACCCACCCCTGCCCAGCACAAATCTTAATCAGTAGAATAAGAACAGGAATCCTGTCCAGGAAAGAAAGAGAAGATCTGAGTGGGGGTTTGATAAATATTTTTGGGTCGTAGTTACATCAATATTTATTACTTGAGATTATAATTCTTGGTAGAAGTACAAAGTGTTTTCCCCTTTTTCCACAAATATTTTATTCTAACTACAGCATGTTTGAAAGAGACTTTCACTGACTTCAGAAATCAACAGATATTTGAATAAAAACAACTCTAATATTAGTTCTACATACCCTGGCTATTATGTTCACTTTCTAGACAGGAAAAAAAGCACAATTAGCCAGGATTCTCTCTGCTATTCAGCTGGCAGCAATGACTGTGCCATCCCTGCTCATTGAGCTATAGTCAATAAAGGTCAAAATTAGTCCACATCAGAAAAAAAATATCTAATATTGGCTTAGAAAAGAAATAATATCATTTTTTTCATAATGCTAATTGGAAGAATGTTTCAGCCTTCCACTGGCATTCAAGGCTATTTGAAATCCTGCATAAAGAAAAAGATATCCACTACTAATATTATGCAGTTACCTTCAAACTATCTCAGACAAGAGGATTGCTATATTTAGGTCCCATTATAGCCACTTGCCAATTTCCTGGAAGTCATCTGAATGCCAGGTGTGGTCCTATGTCTAGACAAGATAAAATGGCCATTCTAGGTGGTGGACTGGAACAGGCAGTAGCCACTCTACCCCAACACTTTGTTGTAAGACAGAGTAGAAAACTTGAGGTTTGAGATCTATAAGCAGTTCTTGAACCCTTTCCTGAGGTAGAGACTCCATCAACCTAAGTTATCATTAACTGGCAAGGGTTTACTACTATTTTAAGTGAAAAATACAAAAAAAATATTCTGAAAGCCCTAAAGCAGAGCTTTTTAAATACCATTTTTAAAAGACTAAAACACAAAAGAAGAAAATGAAACTTCAAAAATTCCTGCTTCAAACCTGGGAAATAAACTGGACTACCCACAGGTATGATATAGTCCTTTCCAGTTATGGCCCTCATTTGCCTAATACATATTAAAGGCCACCTCTGACCATTCAACGCAGCCTGTTGAAAGGACATTTAGAATCAGGCATTTGAGTTGACAAGCCACTCCAGTTGTGAAAGCCACAATTTCAATTTCTCACCTGAGGAGTATCCAAGGTCCTAATAGCAATGCATAAGTAAAGGGACTACAGTGGCTGCCTCTTGCATGATGACATGGGCGACTCCCATAGCCACCTTACAATGTCTCACTCTCCTAAGGGCAGGCTATTGATTGGATGAGTGTCTCATTAATAAGTGAGATTAATAAATGAGGGAGGAAACTGTGACAACTCTGAGGATGGCTATAACACTTCCACTTTAACTAATGGCTCCTCTTGAACTGCCTTTGCATACCCATTTCACCTCTTTCATCTCCATCCCCTCCATTCTGAAATAATACGATCAATCTGGATCGTATGCAAACTTCACCTATATCCATTCCTTTCCATTTTCCACTTATCCTATTCTCTCCTAAAAATTACTGTTTCCCCCCCATTTTCTTATACCCTGCAAAACTTCCTCTGTTATATCCTGGATTAGCAGTGCCTCCCAGACAAAAGGCATTCACTACAAGCTATAGCACTGTGAATGATAAAATTAAGAACCAACCTGAAGTTCCAGTCACAGCACTGCTGTTACTTTGTGGCCTCTCCAAGTCAATCAACAGCTCATCGGTATCATTCTCACCAATGCTGGTCTTCTCTTGCTCCTTTTCACTAAGGTCAAGAGCTACAATAGGCCCTCGAATTGCCTCCTTGGAAACATAGCAGCATGCTAGGCCTACTTCTTGTTCTAAGGCTGTGCGAGTTAAATAGCTTGAATCAATCAGTCGAAGATCACAGTATTTCAAAGACCTGGGGAAAAAGCAATATAGAAAGGCTTGCTGGACGATGGGGTTATAATTCTTGTCATTTAAAGTGATAAGTGAACCATCTGCACAAGGCAGAATGGGATGTTGTTGTTTTTGAGTTTGTGTTTTAACTTTGCTAATAAAATTAAAAAAATATTGAAAAGAAGGTAGGACAGACTTTTTATACAAATAAAATAAAATGCAAATGAATTGTAATGCTTTATAAAATATGAACTTGTCAGACTTGTTTGGTTGTGATATTTAGGATATAGAGGCACTCACCATGATTTATCAGCATTCTGTCAAACCACATTTTGTCTAATTACTCATCCCGCTTTTTTTGTTGTTTAAATTAGGGTTTTAAATTACAAGGCTAGATTGGATCATTTTCCTCAAATCAATTAAGAAATTTAAAGTTTTTGATTAATATGTTTAATTAGGTTCTCTTCATCTAGTTTTAGGATTTGTGTGGAGAACAGATCAGGTTGTAGGTCATATTTATGCAAAAATATTGAAAGTTCAAAGATATTCACAAACTTTTATGATGCTATTTACTGTACATGTATGGACTTTTCTTCCCAGAATCTTCCAGGCATCAGGATCATTACTAAAAATTCTGGGACTTGAATCCATGCACCTAGGCAGCAACCATATTGGTATAAACTGGGCCAAATAGAAGCCTTTTTACAACTGGAGCATTGCACTTATAAAACGCCCTCTGTGACACATCCTGAAACCAAGAAAAGCTATTTCTATTATCCAGATTATAGCTCATATCAATTGTATGAAAATTCTATCTGTATTACTGAATACATATGCTGGGTTCTTTCATATGTTATACTTAGATTTTATAACAAACTGTGCACTATGATCTTAGGGATTTGAAACTCAATCAAATATTTTTTCCAGTCAATGCTGTCTATTTTCACACCTGCCTACAGTTACATGTGTTTTTTTTCCCTTCAATTATAAGACAGAAAAATTACATTTGTGATGTTGAAGATAACCAGATTGTCACCTAAAGAAAGAAATTGGAAATAATCTAGATATTTTAGGAAGCTTTTTTATTTGCACTGTGGACTAACTCAGCATACCTGGGAAATGTTTCCCCTAATGGATCCTTGCCAGTTAAAACAACAATGCAAGGTAGACCTTCTAAATCTTGATAAGTATGAGGAAACCAATCATCTTCTTCATTTCCTCTCCATGCCTATGAGAAAGAATAACAAAAAAGCTTTCAATCTCATTAAGGTTGTTTCAGAAACCCTTTTTGTATGAAAAAAAAATTCTAGTGGAGGATAGCAATCAAAAAATAGAACATCAGTTTTAAAAAGTCTGTAAACAGCAGGAAATGTATACAAATTGAAAGTTTTGCATTAGAAATCTTCTACAACTCAGCTCCCAGAGCAAAAACAATGAAAAGTAAACTATGGCAGTTTCATATATGGAAGATCCTTTCTTCCATATATAAATAAAGTTACAACATTTTCCAAATCTCACAGTTCTTTTTTTTTTTTTTTAATTGCATTTTTCATGTCTTTGCCTCCTTTATTAGGATTCAGGCATACTGGTTGTTTTGAAGGTCACAAGACATGACTGAGAACCTTCAGAAACTCCATGGCAGACAAAATTATTTTTGACAGAGAATCTCTGTGCTTTCTTCTTTGCTCTCTGTGGTAGCTCTGGAGTTGGCAGGTATAAATGGCTACATTCACACTAGGCAAGCTTATGAATTAGCATTATGCGTGATCTGTCTTTAAATCTCCTTGCCCTGTTTGGTAAGAATTTCATCTGTTGTAAAAACAAACCTACATAAAATTAGGGGGGGAGGGAGTACATAACTAAACTCTACACAAAAACATTCAATGTGTGATGATCTATTATCAGAGTCTATCATTAGCACTTGAACAAATACAAGGTGATCAGAATAGTTTCATGTCTCTCAGTTAATATTCATAATTTGTGACCACAATTCTGCAAGGTAGATTCCTTTGTTTTATAAAATATATACAATTTCATTAAAGAAGAGAGAATGCCAGTATTATATCCCCCTACTATATCCTGCTTCTGTCCAATATCTCTATGGTTTCTCCATAAGAAGTTTAACAAAGAAATCAAACAATGGGTTGCTATATGCTTCCATGGAAGTTTAGCAGATTGGGCTATTAGTCACACACAAACAGGCCTTTGAAGCTAACCTTTAATCTTTTCACAAAGTGCTTGGCAATCATAACCTCTGAAGCTGGGTTCCCCAAAATGATCTCAAAACGATACTGCAGACCTAGTTTATCTCGTGCTTCTTGCAGCCTCTCTTTTGCCAGCATTGCCAGTTGCACAGAAGGAATCCGGATCACTAACATGTGCCCGCGGCCATTCTTATCCTTGCCAGGAGCAGTGATGATATCATCCATTATGCTGAGAATTTCTGGTGTGCTGTGGTCTCTTAGTGAGGACATAGTAGTGAGAGCCATCAAAGCTTCCAAATACTGCTGAATGAGGAGATAGCAGCGAATCACCATACTGTGCAGCCTGGGATACCTTGAAAGAACAGAGGTCATTTTGATATAAACATATCTGGCATGAAAGATGATACTTCTGTTCTGGATAGTTGGAGTCCCCTGTGCTCAGTTGTGGGCATATAAGCATTGTGTTTAAATGTATCTTTTAGTTTGAAAGGTTATAGTCATACAGATGATCTCTAGTAGACATAATCTAAACAAATATAAGAAATTCCCACTAAAGTAATATTAATATATATATATTTATTAATATAACCTCCAACAAACATGGTCATACTGGCTGAAAATTCTGGTATTTGTATCCCAACATATCTAGTACTATAGGATTGGAAAAGGTGCCTTAGTATTTTCATAACTGAACTTATTCCTGATTTATACAAAGAATACTGGAAGAACCCAAAGACTAGATTGTTTATGAACAACAGTCCTCTTAATGAGTGGATGCTTGAAAGCAAACCAATAGTGAAATCTAAGCTAACACTTTGATTTATTATAATTGACAAGTTTACCACAAATTATTAAGTGTCCTTTTGGCAACTTAAGAGACAAATAAATTTATTATTACAAAAACCTACTGCTCCTTTAATCAGATGAATGTATGTATCTGATAAAGTAGTGATCCAGGAAACATTAACCAATAATAAATTTGGCAGTCTTTAAAGTAGGGGTGTCAAACTGGCGGCCCATGGGCCGGATGCGTCACACGCAAGTCACGCCCACCCCAACTCTGTGAAGGGGAAAACATCATGATACGTCACGTGACGGCAACATGACACCATAAATTTGACGCCCCTGGTTTAAAGTGTTACAAGACACATTGCTTTGCTTCAACAGCTTATTGTTCTCTCAAAACTGTCTCAGTAATTAACTAAGTTTAAACCATTGAAAGATTATGTGGGGGAGCAATTTTCAAGCCTACTAATTATTTCTTAAATTTATTACATTACCACAATTTGGAGCAATTTTATTATTAGCCATTTTAAAAACCTTTTAAAAGTTAAATGTATGAGAAATTAATTTATAAGTAAATATAATAATGATAGATTAGGTACATATTAGTCATTTTAAGATCTTACTGCTGAATTTAGAAAGCTAAAAAGGACTGGATCTGATTAATATTTGGCTAAAGACCCCTCCCCCCCAAGTAAATACTAGGGCTGTGAGTTAGACTGGGAAGTTTTAAAAAATCATATCCTTTTGGAATATATGAGAAAAGCATTATTCTTTTAAGGCGATCATGTCTTAAAAGGTAGGATCACTCACAATGTAATTTAAAGACAACCTCTAACAGCCTTCCTTAGATTTATACCAGAAAGATTTCAATATGAACAATATCGCAAGAATTTATCTAGATAGTATTAGCATTCTCACTGTTTCCCTATTTACATATTGAATTTATTAAATAAAAGAGACTGCCTGAGTGCTGAAACGTACAGTCCTAAGTACTATTCCCAAAGCATTTACCTCTCTAAGAGTGTATTCACCATTTTTTCAAAAATTTCATCACATCTCAGAAGAGGGCTTGTGATTCCCCACTGCAGAGACTTGCTGTATTCATTTAAGCCAAAGTACAATTTCTCATCTTCGGTTATTTCCTCCTGTTTGATACATTTTAAACAAAATGATTCTCAGAATCAGATTACACTTAACCTACATTTAAAACATAAACCCTTTGTGCCTTTCCCCCTTAACAGTGAACAAAATTATGTCTGTATACATTAATACTTTCCTCCACTGTGAACAATGCAGCTATTAAACACAATTGGTTGTTTAGATAAACTATCTTTCCCAGAAGAGCCACTGCAATTCCAAATAAAAGATTGTAAGATATACAACAACATAAAAATTAACACAACCCCAATCCTTCATACATATTATTCTAGAATTAACTTCAGAATAGAATTCAGAACAGAAATCATAACAGAATTAAAATCCAACCAAAGGAGAACCAATATATCATCAAACCAGTAAATGCTAGTAAATGCTAGATTATCTTCGTCTACATCATTTTTCTCATATGATGTGATTTATGCCTGCAGTTTTTTTTCCCAGGTATCCCCTTAATTTCTTCAAAATTAAGGAAATGGTTAAGAAAGGATTTTGAAGTGAGGATCCCTCTGTGATCAAAGACTTAAAAAATATTCCTAGCTTTTTCTACACTGCTACATTTTGAAGTAAGTTATTCTTTTAAAATACTATTAGTTGAAAATTTTAGCCAGTATTTTATTTCTTTTCTTGTGTAATTCAATCCAGAAATCCAATTCATCACTGAAAGGCAAAATTTAAATTCCTGAAAATAAAGGTGGGACTAAATAATTTCTAGAATATCAAAGGCAAATCGAGGCATTGATAATCTGTCTGATTACTAAACGGAGTACTGTATAGATGACCACCGTATGAAAACATTTCCTCCTTGAATGCAACCAGATTTTGATAATAAACTATCAAAATAAACCAAGAAAGCAATTCCCCTCTTTATTATCAGTGCACTTGAAGCCATGCTATTCAGAATACATTTAACATTTCCTAAGTATTTTATTTGTAATCTTTAGATCCTTACCATATTGCCAAACTGTATCCAGTGCACCTCATTCGCTGAGTTGATTCGGGATTGGAGAGTCTGAAGAGCAGATGGAAAAGAACTCACTTGGAGGACAAGGAGATTGAAAGCTTCAAGGACTTCTCTGCAGTTTATCACTCTATCAGCAAGTCCTTGACTAGGCTCTCCATGAGACAGTGAGCTTGAGATAGCACTGGGAAGAGAGTCAAAACACGACATGTCTGGTATACCAAAATAAAATAGATTAAAACAGAAACAGCAAGATTCACTCAGTTCAAAAAGGAGCATGATCCATATCTTTTCTCACCCCTGTAGTATAACCAACAAAATTCACTTCTATGAAACCTGCAGCAGTGTTCCTGCTTAAATATTGATACCAATGAAGGTTACCCTCATTTCATAAAAAATATTTCCACACATTTAGAACAACAGAGAACCAATTTTAGAAACATGTAACTCCTCATTCTGGTAACAAAACCAAATGAAATAATTACAGTTGTAACTGCCTCCTTCTCAATCCCCCCACAAAAAAACCCAAGCCGTCTTTAAAACAGGTTTGATATAGTTCAATGACCAAAGGCATTTATTGCGACATAACTTATTATAAGCAATCTGAAAAGCACATCCTCACTATTGGTTTATAATATGAAGTCTATAGCTTAGTTTTCAAATTATATGGCTTTACTTCAATGCATTACCTTGTTAAATCCACGTGGGCATTGTCATGTACAAGCACAAAAAGAGTATATGGATTCTGTTTCACTCGTCTCATGAAACTATCAAACTTGGTTTGGACCTCATTGTCAAGCTGCACAACATATTTTTCTGCTCTTTGGTAAGCTGTTCCACTTTCTTCAAGCCCTAAGTCTACAAGAACACCTAGAAGAAGAAACGAGGATTTTATTCAAAATTAATAAAGATTTTTTTAAGTGTCAAAGCAGCACGTAAAAGGTATGATTTCAATTATCAATCTATATATGCCTATAAAATCCATGCTGTATATATAGTATCATACATAAATGTGCACCCATTGTTACAAGACCAAAAATATTGTAATTGTGGCATATTGTTACATATTTACTCACTCTAATCACCTAGAAAAATATTTGCGAACAAATGATAGATGAAAATTAAGTTTTACTTTTCTTACAGCCTCTTATCCCAAAGAGGCCATTCAACAGCTTCAGAGACTATTTTTTCATCTATGAAATCTTCTGTGTTAAATAGCCCTGTAGGTATTTGCACTAACACTTTGTATTACCACTTTGTAAAGCTTTAGAAAATTGCTTCGCAATGCAATGTAAGCAAAGCAACTCTTTCTAAACAACAAAAACAGCTGTGCTTTTTGCAGTGCTCATCCAACTGCTTCAGAAGATGCTCAGTTTTCTTCATATGATTCAGAAAGAGATGTTTTATTCAAGCTTTACTGAAATTACTTCAGTTGAGAGGCTTATGAAATTATAAATCATAAGAAAAAGTCCTAACAGGACTTCCATTGAACAGTCTCCTATATAGCTCTTCTATCTCCCCTTAGCAGGAAAAAATAGAATTCTGAAAAATAAGTTTCTGCTGGATTTAATAAGCTTCTTGGTTATTTACCTGATTGTCGAATCCGCTGGATGGTTTGTTGAACAAGGACCTCTGAACGAGGAACGACAACAATAAAATCTACTTTGTTGAAGTGGCCCAGATCCAGACTTTGGTTGCCACTATCTGCTATGGCACACACCTGTGACAAGAGCTTTCTGGCAACGGTGAGTTGTGGTTGATAAATCTGGAAAGTTTCAGTATCCAAGTCTAGGATAAAGTAGAATCATCATTTATTTTCTGGTCCAGAAGTTGGCACTGAAATCCACTGCTATATGTGGCCCCAAAACCCAACATCTCTTGTATTCTATAAGTCACTATTTTAAAACCAAAAATACATAACATTATAATATACATCCTAAAATAAACCTCTTAGAATTAATCCCTAAAACTTTTGATTCCACTCATATGCAGCTGCTTCACATAGCTTTGTCCATCACAAACAATATTAGTTGTAGCTCCTGGACACTAAAACATGTCTGTCTCTCTTGTGATTTAGAGCAGCCTTACCTAATTTGGCACCTTCCTGATGTGAGCTTATTGTAGTTCCCAGAATTCTAAAATTTCTGGAAAGACTTCTAGAAGTTATATTCTACACACATCTAGAAAACAAGGATTAGGGAATGCTGAGCTAGAGAAGTCTGATAATTGGTTTTCTCTTTGAAGTGAACTAGGCCTACCTAGGCCTCGCTATAAGAATATACTGTAAGAACTGGACTAGAATTCCACTCTTCCCCGAAAAGGTTTATGGTTAGGAGAAAAACAGGATGAATAAATACTATAATAATATAATATGACATATTGTAAAATTCATTAAATAAATAGCATAAATAATTTCAATGTTAAAACAATAGCCTTAATCTGTGCAGCTACAATACTAGTATTTTTTAACAAGAGTGCTTAAAATCAAGAAATTATTTAATGTAAATTTAAAGCTGTCACCTGCACATTTTGCCAATAGGATAAATATCATGCTATTATTTTAGAAAAAAATCCATTTGAACTGGAGAAAAACATGGCAATATTGACATCCAAAATGCATGCAAACAGATATTCCTTTCCACTTTTACATTCATCAGCATACGAACTGCTTCCAAACTTGAGGAAACCACCAGCAGTAGTTTCATGATTGCAGCATCTGGCTCCTAAGTTTTTTGTGGTTGCAATGTTTAAGCCGGTGATGCAAAATTATCCTGTTCCTATGTATAGACTAATGTTTGACAGAAATTATTTCTTATGAGATAATCCTTACCCAGTACTTGAGTGGAAATCATGGCAGCTGCTTCTTGAGATGATACACACTCATTAACATCTCCACTGAATGGAATGACGACGTTATCTCCCCGTCTCTGTTGCATCATCTCTAATAACTTGTCCAATTCATCACCTGGTAAAGAAGTCATTCATAATATAAATATTTATTTATCTCATTAAATATTTTGTAAGAAATGGTGTGAAGTCATGTATTACTTTAAACATGAGGATCCAGAGCCTCATTTATTCTTGGCTGTTTCATTACTTCAAGGTATGAATCTGTGAATGTAGAGAGTATCAAGAGTGGATTTGCTCAGGAAGATTGTGTCAGCACTTTAAAGCCAGGTGTCTCAGTTAAAAGACCTACAACTTTAAAGCAAGAACACAATTTGTGAATGTGAAGTTTCACTCAGTCAATTTTGAAGCAATGTTTAGTTTTTATTACTGTCCTTTTGCCATGGCAATAATTGGGTGACTTTAGGAGCCTCCTGCCAAAGTCAATTTCAAAGAGGATATTGTAGACTGAATGCATTAGACTTTAGAATCGAAGGATTGAAAATAATAACTGATTACCAGCATTGTTTGAAAAGAAAACATAAAGCCTATTGCCCTCCAATTTTTCTCCTGCCTGGGCAAAACACAGAAGCTTCTAGCTTGGTAGAAGAGATAATTAAATTAATAACATTTTTACCAAATAATTCATTTATATTAAACAGGAGGGGGAGCTCTTAACATAAGATAACATTAAGAGGAAATAAATTAATGCTTTTAAGAACTGACGCGAAAGTAAAATTATTTTCTTCCTATTATCTCTTTTTGTTTACTTTTACATATGCACTCCTTCATAAAATTTGAAGACTTTTTGAACCAATTTTAAAATGACAGCCTGTGATAATCAGTATTAAATCTGTTAATTTCTGAGGTGAATATTTTTTCATTTGTAAAAATGGCCATATGATTAATTCAAAGTAATGGCAGACTGTAAGATTCACTCACCTAAAGATGTGTTTTTGAAATGTGATGCTAGAAAACTAACTTTTCCTGTAATGAGCTCGTAACTTATCTCCTTTAAAAACTCACTGGTGGTAAGCATGCTCTCTGCCAGAGCTCTAGACTGGTATTGACCTATGGAAAAAGCAAGGGGGTGGGGTGGGACAAGAGAAAAAAAAATCAAGACTGCTTAACATGAATTTTACCTTCCTGTGTTTCTTTTAACACTCCCCAGAAAAGCCAAGTAGCCTTATGTAATTAATGAAGACTGCTGTATATCTTTTATTTATCCAATCATCTTGAAAATCTAAAACTTCTGGCTATATAAACTTGTAAACATTTTGTAATCTCTCATTATATAACAATGCTTTTTTTAAACTATTATTCCAGAAACCTATCAGTAGCTCACCTTTTAAAAGAGAAAACGTAACATTAACAAAAAGGATTTATTGATGGAAACTCTGTCTTCAGTCCCAACTACCTCAGACTCACTCTACCAGCAAATGCTTTTTGCATTCTACTCTGTCATTAAAATACAAATTTGGTTTGTAGATTATTAATTCCCCACATCTCTGGGCTATATATCTGGTTGAATTAAATTACAACTCTTATAAGTATTCAGGTGTGGCGCTAATGTTTAAAATCCTAGATACATTCACATAGAAACAAGTTTTATTTAACTACTACATTATCGGAGATTTCAAGGAGGCATAAATTAGAAGCCTGTCCCTAATTTTATCCTCCCCAAAATACATCTTGAGGTAGGATGACACAGTATTACTGGTCCAAGGTCATCCAGTTGAGCAGGGTTGAGCAGGACTTGAATCTCCCTGGACTATGTCCAAGAAATTAACCACACACTAGTATATTTGAGTAAACATCGGTAAGATTGTTTAACCACTTAACACTCTAAACCTACAAAACAGTGATTGAAACACACAAATCTGTCTCTTTCTGTCACCATATTTGGTTTCTAACCTATATTAATAATAGCCAGTTTGATCTAGTGGTTAAGGCACCAGACTAGAAATCAGGAGACTGTGAACTCTAGTCCTATCTTAGGTATGAAAGCCAGCTGGGAGACTTTGGATCCAGTCATTCTTTCTCAGCCCAATTCACCTCACAACTTTGTTGTTATAGGAAAATAAGGGGAGGGAGGAACATTAGGTTATTTTTCCACCTTGAGCTATTTTGAGTTATTTTTTTAAAAATAATAAAGGTGGAATAAAAATGTCTAAATAAAAAAAATCAAACATAGAGAAATGGTACAAAAACTCTCACAGCTCTTTAGCTGCATTTAATGCCATTTGAGAAAGTCTGAATGTTTGAAAAACAAGCACTAAAAATAGCAACAGGTAACAGCAGAAAATTTTAACACAGACTATTCTGCAAGCAAGTTCTTCCCCATTCAGTAGATTAGTACATTGTGCAAGTCAGAGTGAAATCTACTTTTCTCCATATCAGATTATTTTGCCTAGAGGTTTAACATCTAGTATATTATTTTAAAATTAAAATGAAACCTTGCTTACTTGGGGGGGAGGTGTTGTGTTCTTTGGTTCTATTTCTTACCAAAGAAATCTAGCACATATTATTGCAGGAAAGAGGGCACTTCAACCACCACAAAGACCATTCTGGATATGAAATCAGTTGGGGCCTGGAAAGGTACAAGAATTGAAGGGCTGGAGAAATCATTTACTTCCTCCATTCTCAAAGGGTACCAATATTCTTCCTACTATCAATGAATGTGGGATGGTGGGCGATGGAAAAAAACATATTTCTGGAATGTTTCTGAAAATCTGAATGTACCCATTTTACAGTTCTAAGATAGTCAAAGCTAACTTCTGTGGAAGGTTTTTGATGGTTAAAGTTGATGGTATAACCCACATGCCAGGATACAGAACAGGGGTGGGTTCTACATTTTTTTACTACCGGTTCTGTGGGTGTGGCTTATTTTGTGGGCGTGGCTTGATGGTCATGTGACAAATATTTAGGATTTAACAGAGGTACTGGTCTACCAGGTTTTAACTGCTTGCAGAGCTGTACCGATCTACCCATTTATTTTTGCAGGCACTGGTCTACCCATTTATTTTTGCAGGCATCGGTCTACTCATTTGTTTTCTTTTAACACTGATCAGCTGTAGGGCAGCCCTTTGAAGCCCGGTGGCAAGTGTTTAAACAGTTTTTTTCCCTCTAGCCATCAGCTGGGACTCAGGAGACAGCAATAGATTGGGGGTGGGGGCAAATAAAAGGTAAGAATAACACGGGGGTGGGGGGCGGGGGGGCGAAACTGGTTCGGTGACATCATATCGTCACCGCTACCGGCTCGGCAGAACCGGGAGGAATCGGGAGGAACTCACCACTGATACAGAATAGTGTTATGTTGTTTTGTGAGTATTTAATGTTGTCTATGATTTTTGTTTGGAGTTGGTAGTATAAGCAGGTTATTTAAAAGTAGATTTCAGTAAGCCTTCTGTCTGCTTATCTCTCTGACTGGGATCCAACAATAACACAGAAACTATATGTTTAAAACATACTAAGACACCAAATATTTTTATTACATTTCAGTAAAAATGTAGTTAAGATACTATGCAAAAAAAAAAAATACCTACCTAAAACTATCACACAGAACTCACTTCCTCTGATCTTCGAGGTGCAGATAGCAACCACATAATCTGGCACCCTCTGTTGGTGCTTCATTTCAGTCAGTGACCGCAGTGTTTCAGAAATGCCTTCTGCCAAGGAATTCTGAGTAACCACCACATGTACCATGTCTTGGGAAACACTAGCAATTAATTTAGCAAGCCATGGAAGTTGAGCTGGCGACAAGGAGATGCTCGGCGCATTCATTTGTAAGGACTGTTCCCTTGAAGTAAATTCCTGCATAGCTTTCAGCATGATCTGTTCAAATTCTTCCCTGAGAGGTATCCTATCAGGACCTGCAACGTCATTAAATAGGGAATCAAAACATATAATAAGCACCTCTTCCATCAATCTAACTTGTCCTGTTACTAGGTCAGAAGCCTACCAAAATAATACACTCAAAATAGACAGTTTCCCCATTTAAAAACATCAGCATCAGCATAGATTTAACTATTATCATAATAGAAAATTCAAAAAATAACTGTTTGGCAGAAACAGTTGCTAGGTACAGGACAAGATGTCAACAGGTTACTTGGTTTGTCTCTTACAATGGTTCCCTCACTCTCTTCTTGGCAGCCATTTTTCTCACAGTGGGCTACTGTTCCTACTTCAGTGGCATTCTAGAGCCTGCACCATGGGTGGGAAACTACTGGTTTAGCAACCAGTTTGCTGAGCGCGCAATTTGCAGAAAATTAAACTGAGAGCAAGGAAAACAGCTGAGGAGCGGCAATCCGCTCTGCAGCCCTATCAGCTGGGCTTCGGAAGCAGAAATATAGTTAAGTATAATGCAGGGGCGGGCGGGCCCACTTGAAAGAAAGAGAGAACCGGTTTGTTCATGGCTGAAAGTTGGAGCTAACGGTTCACCCGAACTAGTAGAATCCCATCACTGGCCTGCACTATATTGGATTGATAATGACTATTTGCAACAATGCTTGGGAAACAATTGAAACAAAAAATTCTTCTATTTCTACCATTCCAATAATTTTATCACAGTGTGTTTATAGATAGCCAGTGACAGAAGAAGTCAGCAGTTGTCCCTTTGCCTTAATGCACAATCCACTAGGCTGCCTCCAATCTTGTGTTAGTACACTAACAGAGATAGAGATGGCAGCAATTCTACATTATCATCATATACAGAAGTGTAAGAAGAATGTGTATAAATCTGCTTGCCTGTGGAAGGTTCACTTATATAATATGAAAAAACCCTATTTTTACAGCTTTCTAAAGCACAGATGCATTGGATTACAATTCCCATTATTATGAGCTATTTTACTATGCCTACAATATGTGAAAGTTGCTGTAGTATAGTCTTCAAAGGGAAGGTTCAGAAGGACAAATATCCAGATCTGGAGCTCTGTTATCGGCTGCAGATGCCTTCCGGCAGGCATCTGAAGGCAAAACAGAGGCCGGGGCGATGCATATGAGTGGCAGCAAGCGGCTGCAGAAGGCGAGGCAGGTGTCAGGGTATGCAAGGCCTGATGAGTAGGGCAGCTCCACCCCCCCATCCCCACCCTAGCTTATTTTTACCTGTGTGCCGCGCCTCACCCCCTGCACCGCAGGGTGGGCAGGGTCTTAATTGGGGCTAATTTTGTGGGTCGGGCTTAATTTGATTGCATGTGCTCAAAAACATGATAGGGCTTCTTTTCAAGGTGGGTCGTCTTTTTGGAGAAACACAGTAGGTCTATTTAAAAAACCTATAATTTCAAATGATTTAGGAATTATTTAGAATTGCAAGAGAACAGAAAATTTCCCTGATGCTTCAGTTTGCTCAATGCCAAGAAAAACTTCAACTACTTATAAAATTCACCTTTTAACCCTTCAGGACCAGAGATTTTCCATTTTTAATATGTTCAGTTGCTTGTATAGATTAATTGATCCTTATATTGACCAATATAATTGGTCTATTATATTTAAGCCATAAATTCTTAATTCTTAAATATCCTAAACTTGCTCCATTTCGCCAGGTGTGCCTGCATCAATATTTTCCCCCTAAAATAAATTCTTAAAATAAATATATTCATGACAATACTTTTTGTAGAAATCCAATTTGATTCTGACTAAATACATATACAAAAACCAATGTATCAAACTTCAATTAAAAATACACCTTTTTGAATCTTTTCTACTGTGAAATCAACATTAGCTTTAAGTAAAATGCAATCGCTTTGGCTTATTACATCTTTGCCCATAATTTTTATTCTAAAATATTTGTCTTTCCCCCCCAATATATATGTTACTTATAAGAAAAGTACAGACAAATTTAAATATTTACCAATTCTAATTCTTTTCATTTGATCTCCTAACTTCCTAGCATTTAGAAAAAACTATCCTATGCTATTCACCTCCTGACTATTTACACTTCTCTGTTCCTACCATTTTTGCAGAGTAAACTCATTAACAATGAAACTTTATTCCAAGTCAATTCATTGGCATTGTCTGAGAAATCTTCCCCCAAAAATGATTTTTTTTTTGCCTTTCCCCACCTTTTCTCAGTTTTTCTCTCCATTCCCCTCCCCTTCTCACTAACTACTTCCTAACCATTTAGACCACATATGAAAGCAGTTCACAGAGGACTAATTAAACCCTCTAATTTAAAAACCTGACTTTTCCCCCAGGCCTTCCCTTAGTTTGGGTGGACCCCTTTAAACTGTGGAGAATGTGAAAGAATGGTTTATTGTTCCCTCAGACACCCATTCTTTTATATACTATTGTTGTTTACTAACATTGTAAAGCAACCAGAGTTGTTTTGGAGTTAAGTGACAGAAAAATTAAATTAAATTAAATAAATTAAAATTAAATACTGTAGACAGTCTAGTTGAGCTGTAGTTTCTCCATTCCCAGATTCTCTTATTCTTACATTAACTTGTTTACAATTCTCTCATCTCTATATTTGATCTTATTTCCCAACTAATATGAAAAATATTAAACATCTTACAACAACTATGTCTCTACTCATCTCTTGAAACATAGGAATCTTCTTTATGGATAAAATGACATTAACTAGAAACAAAACTCCCATTTTATGTTATTTCTATTCTGCTATTATTATTTTTACAAATAACTGAAGGCGGTGAACATATCCCAGACACCTTCCTCTTCCTATTTTCCCCACAACAATAATCCTGTGAGTTGGGCTGAGAGAGAATAACAGGCCCAAGGTCTCCCAGCTGGCTTTCAAGGCTAATACCATATTTTGCTTTTTCATCATTCTTCCGTCAAAGACTGATAACTTTTCTTTGTAACATGGTTGAATATCTTGAAAATATAATACTTGAATATCTTGAAAATATAATACTTTATCTCTGTCCCAATTTATGTCTTCCAGCCCACAAATGTTTTGCTAAGTTCTGTCTCTCACCAGAGCATTTACAAATCTTAGTATTATAGCCCTTCCACATGTTTATCAGAAAATTTTATGTCTGATAGCTTTCTATTAAGCTTGCTATGAAATATACAGTTTTTCTACATTTTCTCAAAGTCTCACATTATTTATTCTATTCTGATCCTGAATAACAGAAAATCCAAATAATGTCTGTAACTTTTCCAATATCAATATTTATTTTTAGTAATAACTTCATATGCTTTGCCAGCATTTTGGGCAACCTCCACAACTTGAGAAGACAATTCTTTAAGCTGTTCATTAACTTGTTCAAACATAACTGCCAAGTTTTGTCAGATTGGAAGAGCTAACTTAATTCCTTACATCTTTAGTTTTTAGTTGAGTTCTTAAAATAGATTTCCCAATGGACAGTTTGAAAGCTTCATCCTGAATGGTGCTCAATTTTCCTTATATTTGTAAAACCATCCTCCGCCCCCTGCCCCCCATGTCTTTTTTGTTACTATAGTGGAGTGCCACTTCAGCCACTTCGGGATCAAACATGTAAGCCTTAGTTCCTCTTTTTTGGAATGACCTTTCTTTGACATATTTTTATTACTAGTCATGCCAGTTAGGTGATTGAGAAGAGACCAATGGATCATCTTTTCTGGTAGCTAGCAACAACCTCCTCCACTTTCTCACCCTTGGTTTTAATATTTAAGGAAACCTGAGCACACATTTAGATTTATCCCACCAATGTTAGCAGATACTAAGCACTGCCCTACTGTTTGGATCTGATACATTATTACAGAAACTTGTTTTTTGTAAGGGCATTAAAATGAGTATTGTTCTTATTTTGATCAGAGGTGTTCAGAAGTTAGTTTTTCCTCACTTTGTCTCACCTAGCCAGTTGCATCAGGAGATAATGGTTCATGAAAGAAATAGCTAACAAGTTGCCAAGGAAATGTTTCCATTATCAAATCAGCACATAAAATAGTCACTGAATATTGATTGGCACAAGAGAAATCAAAGGAGTAAGGATAACTTTTGCTCTCAGATTTTGACCTGTGCTCAGTCAGATCAATACCCTAGCATGGATATTCCATCCCTCTTGGCCAAGGGAACCAGCATTGTCTGTTAACTTCTCACTGAAGGGGTACCTATTAATCTACTCACATTTGCTTTCAAACTGCTAGGTGGGCAGAAGCTGGGGCAGGAACAGGAACTTACCCCGTTGGGCAACACTTGGGTCTCAAACTCAGGCTGTTAGCTTTCCCGTTCACAAGCTCAGTATCTTTAACTGCTGAGCCACTGTGCACCAATCCAGAAAGAGAAAGTACGTATTATAAAATTTGATTTTGTTTCCTGTGAAACTTGGATTGCATATTTACAAGTACAGTAATTACCTGCTCAAAACTATGAACACTGAATTTTGCTACACATCTGATTTTGTAATATGTACCATCTAATATGAAAGAGAAAGTACATATTACAAAATCAGATGTGTAGCAAAATTCAATTGTGGTTGTGGTTTTGAGCAGGTAATTTTGAGCAGGTAATTGAGCAGGTACTTGTAAATGTGCAATCTAAGTTTCACAGGAAAGAAAATCATTAGTGTGCATGTAAAAAATGAAGCAACATGCAATGTATGTAAACACATGGAGAAATGTATGTACTTTTTACATTGCTTTTATTAAAAGAAACCCCTCAAAAATACTTAATCTAACTCTTTAATCTTCATTTTCCACATTCGTTACTTGACACTGAAAACATTCTCCTGAGTTGTTTCCTGTGACGTTTAGCCTAAATTTGAGAAAACATTCGGTTATTTTGGGACAGAAGGGGAGGGAGGGAGTGGCCATTGTCAGTTACCAGGAATATAAAGTCCTGTTACTGGAACTTTCCATATTTTTCCCTAGGAAAACAGCCAGAATGTACAATATTCAATCAAATATTTAGCTTTTGATTTGTGGGTGTTTATGCTTTAAAAATAATACTCATAGATAAATGCAGATGATACATTACTATATAAAGTTCAAGAGAAAATTTGTCTTCTCACCAGTATGGTTAAGATACTGTTAGATTTCAATAATTTTTATATCAACTGAGTTTTTCAGTTAGGGTTAGAGCCAAGTCTTAGATATAGCCATATATTTTCGAATCCATCCCAATTTTCAACACTGCTTCTTTGATTTTATACCTTTCCCCAAATACAGGATTCCCGGAGCAAAGCTCCTGGAGCACCCAGTAAAATACTGAGAAAACAGATAAAGAATACTTGAATCTGCTGAAAACTGATTGATGGTTGCCTTGTGCAATTTTACAAGAAAGAAGATAGATACACAAAGCATAAAAAAAAAAATCATTTGCTGTAAATAATGTGAAGAAGTGTGTGTTTTTTAAATGTTTAATTATACACTTTAACCATTCAGATCAAAATTATTTGAAACACTGTATTTCTCTTCAAAACAAGAACTTCATAAATTATTATTACATTTTCCCAGGAGAGACACTCTTGTAAAATATTTGTGAAAATTCTTGGCTAAAAAAGCACCCACGTATGTTTCTGCGTAAAATGTGCTTAAAAGGAAGATAATTTGTGTGCATGCGGTCATGTGCATTGCTGTCTGCTGCAGATTTCACAATACAGTTCAAGGGCATTTCAAGTATCCAACATCAACCATTAATGCTTTTACAAATAGAGATTAGCCATATTGGGGAGGGAATCTACTCATCAAGGAACACTGGTGCCATTCCAATGATGAGGCAGACTAATTTGTAACTAGCAAGCAATCCATATTGGGTTCTTACTATAATGAAGTTGCAAAATTTGAAAATGATAGAAAATTATCCTGAAACATATTTATTTGATTAAGTTCTTTCTATTTTCTTAATTGTATGCAAATATACCTTGTGTAGAGGCTGCCCTACTTGCTTACATTTTACAGGGTAGAATTTATCCAATAACATTTCATGTAGAGAAGCCTTTCTCTATGAAAGCAGATGGTTATAACTTGAAGTTGCCCCAAAGTAAATCAGAATTTTGAAAATTGAAAAAATTAAAAAGATGATAATATACCTAGAATGAAGGCAGAATAACTTCTGTCATAATTTTTGTGACACTTAGTCTCATAAAAAGTTTATTATCTGTTGATTTGTAGGAGATAGTATTTATGTACACCCAAAAAAGCAATATACTTTTTAATGTCTTACCTAGCCAGACAAGATACTGTATTGTTAAAATAATCATGTTCTCCACACTTAGTAACTGATTCCCAGTTAAACCAAAAAGATCCAAATCTTTGTTTTCCAGCTGAGGAATCTTGTAGGAATTCACTAGCAATGGACTTACAACAATGTCTCCAACATTCCCATAGAAATAAGGTAAAGTGCCGTAACCTTTCAAAAACAAAAAGACAAATTCAAATTACTGCAGAATTGCTTTCCAATTTTTTAAACGTTATAAAATAAAAATTATTGTTAAGCAAGGAATCAAAATACACTTTCTCACAAAAATATGAAAAACTCTTTTTTAGGTGGGATGTAAAGACCATTACAGACCATTATTTAACAATGATAATTCGGACCAGCTACTCCATCGCTAAGCAACATAAACATAAAGTGCAATATCATGTGACCAGAGCAAGTTATGATGGAAATTGTTGCAGTTTCAGTTATCATTGTTAAACAAAATGTCATATGATTACCATTGGCAACCGTCTTTGCTTGTTGAAAACCAGCAAGGAAGTCACAAATGGTATCACGTGACCAAGAGACACTGTGACTGTCATAACTGTGAGCTGGTTACCAAGTGCTCAAATTGTAATCATGTGATTGTAGTGACCCTGTGACAGCCGCAACTGTGAAGATTGGTAGTAAATCTCCTTGTTCAGTGCCATCATAATTTCAAATTGTTGTTGAACAAGGAATTATTCAGTGAGGACTACTTATATAAACCTAGATGACAAAGACATCTATGCATGTTAGGGTCTAACAAAAATGAAGAATAATAATGTAGTAATGATTGTAACATATAGATATCTTTCTCTATTAACAGTAGTACTAACTACTAATATGTATACATATATACATACACACACACACACACACACATACACATATACACACATACATATATACATACACACACACACACACACATATACACACATATACTTCTTTTCTAGGTATAGTTACCCTTTCTGTCTCAGTAACTTGACAATGTCTCAAGTTCAGAAACTAAAACAGCATTCTGTTCTTTTATTCTTTTAATAGAAATTTTAAAATCTAGCTCTAAAATATATACTCTACCTCAATAGGTATTAAATTGATTTGAATGAAATTACTATTTCTTGGAAGGGAGAGGACGGAACTGGAAGCATAGCACTTAAATGTAGAGTGGAATATATGTAATATAAGTACAGGTACATTACTGTTGTGGCCCGCCAGCAGCCTGCGCAGATTGTTGCTGATCCTGATGACGAGGAGGCTGTTGTGGTGCTGCGCCAGCAGCCTGTGCAGCCAGCGCTTGAGTCGGACAGTGAGGAGGCTGAAGAAGATGTGGTGCCAGAGGCAGGGATTCAGTCAGGGCCTTCAGAACCTCCAGAGGCTCCTTTAAGTGAAGAGGATGAAGAGGAGGAGCCTCTTCTCAATGCACGGGCATGCAGAGCTGCCAAAAGGCAGGAATGGTTCCTCAGGAGGAGGTCTCCTCGAGAGTAAGGCTTGGGCTAATTGGCCACTCCCTTAGCCTATTTAAGAAAATATGCAGCTGGTAACAAGCTGCAGGAAACAACTTTAGTTCGCTAATCATCACGTTGGTATGTCTCTGCAACCTTGTTTCTGGGCCTTCTGTCAACTCCAGTAAGACTCTGGCTATCTTTCTGTGGAGTTCTGGCAGGCTGTTAAGAACACTTTATTAACAGCCGGCATTTGCTAAAACTGTGTTATTTGAGTAAACTAAGGTTTGTTCAGAGTTTGTGTGTGCTGTGTTCTTGGGATCCGTAGCTGGGGCAGAACAATTACACAGTCAATTTTCATCCCTTTGGGATCATAAAAAGAATTTTTTTCTCCAAGGAAAAGTAATTCTACCGAAATCATTTTTAAGCTTGCATAGAATGGATACAATAGGTTTCAGAATTTTAATCCAAAAATAAACAACAGTAACAAAAAATCAGGAAAGTAACAACTGTAGATTATTATACTACATTATCGGAGAGCTTACCTATTAGAATCACTGGTCTGATTCCAGAGTTAATCAGAAGATTTTCAGGAACTATTACAGTCTCCCCTGCAGGGATGGGTTGAGGCTGTAAAATTCCAGTTAACATTGATTGCGGAACTGGGACAGATAAAAGAGGCTCTATAAAAATACAGAAAGGGGACAGATCTATTATAAAAAGGGTCATGCTGTGATTTGCCCTTATGAACAATTTAACAGTAAAAAACAACAACCATTCTTGTTCTGGAAATCATTAAAGACAATAAAATTCAAACTACACTGCATTTCCTTTTGAAATTATACTGAATTCTTTCAAACCACTCTTTCTCTAGCTCACCCTTCCAGAAGATGTTATCTTTTTAAAAAATCTAAGTTTGTAGTTAATGGAGGTGAATCAGAGAGGAAAAGATGCATACACAATTTCCTCAAAGCCAAATATTATAACAGAGCTGCTTACAAAAACTCCATTGAAATGTTACCTATATAAAGAATCAGATTCAATACTAATTTATAAACAATCACATGCAAATTAATAGTGAAACATTCTCACAGACTAATTGAATGTTGATTTATCATATCCTAATCACAATCTATCAAATCAAAGCTTTAGACACAAAGGAGCCATAGAGATTTTTATAGATAAAATAAATTCTGTAATTGCAAAGCTGAATTAATGATTTGCAATAATTAAGCACACAGAGAAAAAAAAACACATCTTTTTTTAAGCCACATAAATCTTTTTTGCTTTAATACAGAGTTTATAATTCACCAGGAGAAATATCTGCATTTTTTAAAAATCTCTAGTACAGATACTGTTATCCATTAACATTTTATTTCAAAGTAATCCCATTTCATCTAGCAAACACTTTGATGAATGATCCAGGTCAAAGCAAGGTGGGGGAAATACAACCCTGCTACCATCCCTGGGGTTTCCTGGTAGTTTTTATACTAGTGCCTGCAATGTCCTTCTGGGCCATCTGGCAAAATCAGGCTTTGTTAGCAGTGCTTTACTGTGATCCTTCCTGTCAGGAAGCTTCCATAAGATGGTGCTGGCGAAGTCTGTTTAATAACTAGGTCAATGATCTATGTGTCCCACCCTGTGTCAACATCGGATCTCCTGAGAAGCTCATTTTGACCTTTTGCATGGGGTACCACAAGTATGTGGATGATACCCAGCCCTATAATTGTTGCCTTGGTAACAGCTCTTCTTTCTATCCTTCAAGGTCATTTCCTATGACCTCTACATATCTCTCCTCAGATGTGCTGGACTATAACTCACTATACTGAGAATGAAGGAAAATGAAATCCAATCCATTTGGAATACACAAGATTGGATAAAGTTGTTGTATAGAGTAAAAAAGGCATGTGGAAGAAAGACAGCTGATGTGATTAACTATATTAGAGACAGCATTAAACAGCATTTAACAGTTTAATTTATGACCCATAAAAACAAAGGTTTCTGTCATGATACAGTATATAGATCCATGTTGGAATGATATTAGTCTATTTTATTTAATATGCATGTATTGATAATCTACTGAGATGAAATTAAATACAATTTATACAGACATCAATTGGGAGACTTGGATTCACATCCACCATTTAGTCATGAAATTATTGGGAGATTCTGGCAGAGCCTAATTTGGAGATGGAAGTTCTTGTTCTCTAACCTGAGCTGCTGTAGCAAAGGCTAGTTATCAATTCCAGAAATTAATTAATTAATTAAGGTGGATGTATATCACCAGGTCATTGGCTGGTCAGAGGTGGTATTCAACAGGTTCTGACCAGTTCTGACCAGTTCTGGAGAACCAGTAGCGGAAATTTTGAGAAGTTCGGAGAACTGGTAAATACCACCTCTGACTGGCCCTACCCCCTCTATTCTCTGCCTCCCAAGTCCCAGCTGACTGGGAGGAAATGGGGATTTTGCAGTAATTTTCCCCTGGAGTGGGGAGGGAATGGAGATTTTACAATATCCTTCCCCTGGAGTAGGGGGGAAATGGAGATTTTACAGTATCCTTCCCCTGCCACGCCCACCAAGCCATGCCCACAGAACAGGTAATAAAAAAATTGAATCCCATCACTGACACACATATATCAGAATCTTGCCTGCTCTTGGAAGAGGCCGGATGGCAGGAACAGGCACAATTACACCAGGAGGAGGGACTGGGGATCCAGGAGACCATCCTCGGTGTCGTTTTTTGGGTGGGCCAGAACTTGTCAGGGTAGCTAAGCAGAATTAATACAAACAAAGAAAACATAAATAACAAAAAGGATATTTACCTTCTATATGCTTTAATGTCTACCCCATGTAATAAAGCACTTTTATTGACAACTCTGACTTTCAGAAACTTTATAACTGCTGAAGTCATTATAGTAAAGTAGGTAATAACAAGGTCAAGAAGTTATTTTTTACTTTTTTTTCTGCAGATATATTCGAGCCAGGTGGTAACATCAATGGCTTTGAGAGAAAGGGGAACTGAACGCAAAAAAATTACAAATATTTTTAGACAATTGTAAAACAAGCAATTGCACTGAGGACCAGAAGAGCACTGTAAGAAGATAACAAAGGAGGGGATTTAACAGGGAGGGTAAAAAAACACACTATGGCAGCACCCAACTTTTTTGGACTTTCCTACAACAAAGATTATGTACAATATCTCTGAATATTATGCAAAGCAAGGATAAGCAAGATCAGTATTTGATATTTGGATAGCATGCTAAAGCTTTCTGTTCCACAGTTGACAAGTATTATAATTATCCCCAAGGAATTCATTTTCACCTTTTGTCTTATTAAAAATAACAGTTGGGACAGCTTTTTTTTAAAGCTATTCTGAGGGCTACAATCGATACAATTTTTCAAAACTTAAAAAAAAATACAATACTTATATATGTTCAGAATCACTTGTCTTCTTTGTTTAAAAAACAGAAGATGACCCTTTTATTTAGCTATAATTTATGAAAAGAAAAATGAAGAATGTTGGCTTGAATCCTAGTCACATGGAAGCTAACTGAATTTAAAGGAAATGTATTTTAAATTGTGGAATAGTAAATTTACTTACAGTACATGTCTTATTTTGGAAGACTATTGGTTCTTTAGTCTTTCATAATCAAAATTAAGGTTTTTTTTCAATATGGTCATTCTTTTTTACACTGTGTTACTAAGTAGTCTTGACAAACTTCAGTTTTTGCCATATTTTTCTATTTATCAAAAAACTATATTGAATCTATTTTATTCTAATTAATCATTTAGTAAGTTTGAAAGACAGAACATACTAAAATTAAATTACTGACAGCACAAATAAAAATATATTTAATCATCTTAGTTCCCCTAACTGGCTTCAGGTAGACCCTTGGGAATTAATATTATTTCAAAATATTTCAAGCTAAAATTGATCAAATATCTTAAATTAGAACTTAATGTATTATATTGTGATATTGTAACTATAAAAACTAATAAATAATAACATGGTACAAAATAAAGTGGTTCAGAGATAGGAATGGCAATAAGTCTAAAAAGTTAAAAATAACCAGTAGAATATAAATTTTATGGGCATGTTCTTTTTAAAACTAATGGCTTACTTTACAAAATATTTTTTAAATAATGAGATGCTGGGGGAGTGTTCTGGCAACTTTAACTGCCAATTGGAGTTCTAATACAGAAAACATGTATTTTACAGATGATATACTGTTTCAACCTTTTATTTAGTGGGTTTATTATTTACCAGTAATAAATAAATGAATTAGTGTAGAATATAGGATAAAAGTAAAATGTTGAGGCTAGTGATTAAGACCTAACAGTGGGAAGACTCAGGTTCTGCAATGAAGCTCACAGGTTGATTACAACCTCTTGACCATACCAGTTTAGCTTTCGAGCAAAGATAAAATGAGGAAGAAAAGGAGGAGGAAGAATAGAGGAATATTTAAACCAGTTACATTGTTTAGATGAAGTGCAAATTATATATGTAATAAGTACATGAACTTAGTAAAAAATAACATTCCAATAGGACAGTGTATTGTTTGGACCTTCTGAATTTGAACTACAAAAAAAGTAGCAATCACTAGATGGCAGCAAAGAAAATACAGAAAATTTTAATTCTTTGCTGTCATCTAATGGTTAACTAGATTGTTGCAAACTAAATCTGGTAATCCTAGTGTTGGTAATACGTATCACAGAAACCTGATCTGACCGCAACATGATTTTAAAGTTGTCTTCACTAATTTGAAGCCTTTCTGATATACGTTGTGCCATTATATTGACTGATCTAGCTGAGAATGGTAAGAATTAAACATATTTGAAGGATACCAACAGGAAGACAGGTGAAGTATGAGGTATTTATCATTTGTTTTGTTCCATAAAGACAATTCTATAGCAAATTATTTACATTTTGTGATACTTCACACAAAACATTTACATACTAGAGTCTAAGTAGTCCTAGATTGCAATGAGTTTGATTGAAAATATATTACCTGTTGCAAATGTGTTTCCTACAAGTTGCCCAGGCAAAGCAAGTGGTCTCACTATGTTCTTATTCCGAGTCAAATCTTGAATTCCACTTAAATTAACAGCAGAGGAAGACTGTGCTTCACTGAATACCGAGGACTCTGTCAAAGAGATAATTGTAACTATTTTTTTAAAATCTACAATAGTCTTTGAAAATTTGTCTAAGATACAGTATCATCACAAGAGGGTTTTTTTCAGATGCTATGATGAATTTTGAACATGTGTTAAATCATCATATTTATCATTTATAATATACTTCTCCAGTTATGGGTGTCACCTTGCTGTTTGTATGTATACTGAGAGCTTATCTACTGGAGACAAATTCCTTGTGTGTCCAATCACACTTGGTCAATAAAGTATTCTATTCTATTCTATTCTATTCTATTCTATTCTATTCTATTCTATTCTATTCTATTCTATCTAATCCTATCCTATCCTATCCTATCCTATCCTATCCTATCCTATCCTATTCTATTATCAAACAAGTAGGCTGAATCTTTGAATAATTGACCTGTGATTATTACCATTATTTTTATGATACATTCCTGTATGTTTTTTCACATAATTCCACCATTTATGAGACAAATGGCTTAATCCTATATTGATACACTAAGAAAATTAAGTCCCATTTTTTTTCAGTGAGACTTGCTATTCAGTAACTGAGTTCAGAACTGCAACCTGAATTCCTAGATCTATCCAGTAGATGCAATATCCTATCAATATATATATAAAGAAGGAATAAATTGATATTCCAAAGAATATGCAGATGTGATTTATTCTTCACTACTGTATATTCCAATAATCTAACACAGGACTGTCAAATTCCCAGCCCGCAGGCCGGATGCATCACATGCTAGACACACCCACACCCAGTTTAGTGAAGGGAGGGGGGGGAAAGTCCCAATACGTCACGTGACAATGTGAGTTTGACACCCCTGATCTAACAGAACCAAATATGAGTATGCATTAAATTGAAGCCAGATTTATTTTTTTCACTGTATCAAACACGGTCACACTACAGTATAAGGTTATACAGTACATTTATCTTAACTCTCTTTCCTTTTAAATCATTTGGCTTATGTAGAATTTCCAAGGTCTGCTTAACTAGAGACAAAACACTAGAGAGAAGGACAAATACAATGATTAGAACTATCTCTGATTGTACTATACAGCACAGTGAGTCCTAGCAAGCGAAAAAGAAAAATAGTAGATAAAGAGAATTTGTGTGATAATGCCTAGACAGAATTGGTATTAACAGGAACAGCAGTTTAGTTCAAGCATTCATTTCATCAGCAAAACTACTGAGTCCGTAATGCCTCTAAAATTACAGGGCAGATTTTTCCCTCTTAGTTCATCCAAGAAAGAAAGAAGTTCTGTATCTCTGTCCACCATACTAATGACTATAATGACTATAATGTATAATGAGTTTAATTATTGCTGCTACTCCTTTCAACTCTCTTAAGATAACGAAGCTAAGGATCTTTGAACTGCTTCTGTGAGTTGGAGAACTCTACCACTCTTTTTCCCATGGAAAATATGGCAAACTAGGCCTTCCTTCCAGAGTTGAAACTGGAGGTAGGAAAATCAGCATCAAAACTGTACAGAACTTTGGAAGCAATTGGGACACCTTAGAAATACAGCACAGTTGTAGGCTTGTTCAATGGTGCATTTCCTATTTTCTTCTTATATTTTGAACCTACTTGCTCCCAGGGAAGCCTGTGAGCATGGCTTGCAATGCGTATCTAGACAATAATAACCGTGACCCTGAATAATAAAGAAGAGTGAGAACTTCCTATTTTGATGCTAGAACTTTGAAAACTTTTGAAATACTGTATGTTTCTCTGCAGATAAAATCCCACTCGTTCAAGGGACTGTCTCTGACTTCAAACAGACATTCAATTTAAAAAATCAAAGGAAAAGTTTAATTGTTTACTGAGGCAAGACTAAATGGGTGGATCTCTGTTCTTAATATTTTCATATTGCCCAATACATATTTCAAACCTGAAGCTATGGGCTTTCTTTAATGCTCCATTACTGTATATATATTTCTGCTGTCTCCTTTCTTCTTCCAGGTCTTTGCACTTTTTAGTATCTCTTTCTTCTTGTTTTCCTGAAACAAGCATTTCTGCCATTATCAATAATGCTTAATGAATGACTCTTAAAATTAAGGTGCTGTAAATTCTCCCCTCGTTATTCCTTCCTAGAATTCTCTATTACTTAAAGTATGATTAAACTAAAATATACTGTTCCCTAATCAGAGGAAGTCAAAATGTTATGCATAAAAGAGCTTTGGTGGCGCAGTGGACTAAACTGCTGCTGTTAAAGTAGTACTTAGCTGCCAGCTGCCTGCAATTCAGGGTGGATAAAAATCAATGATATTTTTTAAAAAAATCAATAAAATCAGATTTTTTTGATTTAAATCGGATTTTTTTGATTTTTATCAAATTTATTTTAATAAAAAACTTTTGGGGTAAAAATCTATCGTAAGATAGTTTTCTATTTAAGATACATAAATAATTTAGTTTATTCAGCATGAAATGGAGCTTAGTTATGTAGCATGAGGCTGTATATTCTGCAACACTGGGACTATCGGTGAGTCAACAGTGGGTCAAAGGAGTAGCAGAGATGACAGTTGCTCTTTAAAAATTATGATTTAAATCGAGTTGATTTAAATCAAGCCTTTTTACTAGTGATTTAAATCATGATCTAAATTGTGATTTTAAATCAAATCCACCCTGCTGCAATTAGTGCGAGTTCAATTCTCACCAGGCTCAAGGTTGATTCAGCCTTCCATCCTTTCATGATAATGAAAGCTGTAGTTTAATATATCTTGAAGGTACAAGATAGTCCTGATGAAAGCAGAATCAATTACATGAGATAATTCAATCTATCCATTATGCAAAGTGTGCAGATAGAAGAATCTTGGGGAATTCAGCTTTACACGGCACAAAATGTTGCTGACATTTTATGACAGACTAATCAACTTCAGAAATAAGCAGCTCCAATATACCTGAACTGTAGTTCCTGCTCATACGAATGTATATAAATGACTTCTTTGAGCCCATGTTACATTTTAAGATGGACTCAATCTTCTTCTCAGCGCTATTGATATCCTCAACTTGTCTGAAATTGTTGTGACCTAACAGTGAACTTTTCCTTGGAAACAATGTAAACTGGTTTTCACCAGATAAATTAATCTGAGAAAAGTAAATAGGCTAGTCTGAAACTATACCAATCCCACTGAAAGTAGTCGGGGGGGGGAAGCAGAAAAAAGATAGAAGGGACATTTCCTAAAAGCTGTGCCAAAATCACAGACCCTGGAAACAATAGATAGCTTTCAGGAATGAGGAGAAGCCAAGAAAGTTAGAAAAGGGGACACTGGGCAATTAGAGAATGGAGATGAAAACTCTCATTTGAAAAAGGACCAACAACTGTAACATGATTAAGTTTTAGCAGTACATGGAAATATAACCAAGGAATCCAGAGAAGAATCTTCTCCCATCACTATTTTCCAAAACAATTTGCCTGGGTGCCTATCAGCACTTAATGGCAGGTTAGCTGACTATGTTTAACCAGCAAAGATAGAGAACAAATTGTAGTATGGCAAAGATTTATACCACCTTTACTCAATTTCTCACATGTATAGGAGTTTTTTGGTTAGAGAGCAGTGCCCATGGAGATCTTAGTTCAGCTTCACACATGGTTAGAGAGTTCCCAAGGGGATTTCTATCAATCACAACCAGCCCCAGGATTGTTTTCTGAGCATAAAATGAGGCATAATCCAGATATCTTTCTCTCTCTCTCCTTAGATTTCTTAAAGAAAAAGTGCAATATACTGCACATTGAAGATGTTTGATACAAAAAACTTTAAAAAAAAAACAAGAGGAAGAGAAGATATACAATTTTAACTTTTGAAGATTGGTGGCAAATATAGCTTACAAGGAAACTTCCTTTGAGGTCAGAGTCTTAGTCTGCTTTTAAAGACGCATAACAGTAATTCTATACTAAACTACAATATTTGCATCATTTCTAGACCTGAGCCTATTTTCCCTCCTTACCTTCCATTTCCCCCCCTAAAAAGTATGCAAGATTAAGAGACTACTTTTTAACAAGGTAAATATTTAGTAGACTGTTTGAAAATTACAAAGGCAATAATGGAAAGCTAATCAACATATTAATATTAAGCTCTCGGAAGATGACCTAAGCCAAAGACATATATCTGGAGGAAAGAAAATAGAATGGCCAAATTCACATGAAAGAGGACTCTAGTACCTTCAACAATTGTGAAGGACAGGGATCTACAAAAACTGCAATTTTCTTTGCCTCACAGGACAAAGTATATATTCAATTTTCTCCTCAAATGTGAATGGGAAAGAAGAGGATCTATACTGCCATCGACTCTTATATTTCCTATGGATATGATTAAAATTAAATTGCTGAAATAGCTTGCCATTCAGCTTTTTAGCAGCACCTAATTAATCAATAATGTCTAATTATTGAATTGGAAGCTACTAGAAAAATCCTGGATTGGGAAGTAAAAAATCAAAATACTGAAATGAGGCAATAGGACCGTGATGGTGAACCTATGGCATGCGTGCCACAGGTGGCATGCGGAGCCATATCTATGGGTACATGAGCGTTGTCCTAGCTCAGCTCCAGCGCGCATGCACACCAGCCAGCTGATTTTCGGGCCTTTCGGTCCCACTGGAAGTCAGGAAATGGCCCATTTCTGGCCTCAGAAGGGCCTCCAGAGGGTGGGGAAGGCCATTTTTGCCCTCCCCAGGCTCCTAGAAAGCCTCTGGAGCCTGGGGAGGGTGAAAAATGGGCCTGCCAAGCCCACCGTGCCAAAAGCAGGGGGAGCGTGGGGGGTTGCATGCGCATGCACGGGGCAGGGCACAATGAATTATGGGTGTGAGCATGCATGTGCACAACCCCCCGTGTTCCCCCTGCTTTTGGCACACGGCGGCTAAAAGGTTAACCATCACTGCAATAGGAGCTTGTTGTTGCTAAAAAAACCTACATGGGAGTTACTAGGAATTGAGCTTGACTCAAAGAAAATTTTATTTTACCTTTAGCCAGTCTTCTCCAATTCTTTCCTCTT